CACTGCAGTAAATGTTGTGCTTTCACTAACAAAATTAACATACAGTGTTGATTAATAATGTTATTAATTCTTGAAAGTACTAATTTTATCTAGAAATAATTGTAGATGTTTATCCACAACATCTATACCATGTAGAGCTTTCATCACAGAACAAACTATTCCAACTGACTTCGTAATTATGTGAGGTTGAACTAATGAAAACATTGCTCTAATCTCTGACAAATGAGCATAGCAGATATAGCAATTAATATGCATTTTTGTGCCAGGCGAATTATATTTCTGAAGCACACACAGTGCATTTGAAGCAGAACTCAGTCTGCAGCTTAGTGTTCAAACAACATGAGAGAAGTCTAGACTTGATTGAAAAGCAAAACATGCCAGCAATTAACTTGTTCTGAATCTATTAAGCCCTTGGAGATAGCTATGCAAAATATCCATTATTGTGGTTTTTATTTTGGTTTAATCATTTGGATAATACTATTCTTTACTTTTATTTTTATTAAATAATTCGTGCATGGAAAGTAAAGAGAGTGAGTAAAAAGGAACCTGAGATGAATATTGTAGTTATTAAAGGGGCACTATAGTTACCCAGACCACTTCAGCTCATTGAAGTGGTCTGGGTGCAGTGTCACTGTCCCACTTGGTCCTGCAAACCACTGCATTGGTTATAATACCAGGAGAACCCTGGCCCCGTTAAGCAACAGTTTGTTTCCTTACCTGCATCATTGCTGGGCTCCAGTGCTCTGTGTTGGTTCAGTTACTTGCTTCTGCAGAAGCCAGAAGTGACAGAGGTCGACATTCATTGGCTAAGAACATAAGAACTCTAGTTCCAAGCTGGCTGATGACACTGCAGGAGGTGGAGTTACACCTCCAGCAATTAAGGGAAAGACTGCACATACAGACTCCAGACACCATGACTACTTCTAATCACTGAAGTGGTCATGGTGCTTGGAGTAACCCGTTAACGTTGGAAACTTTTAGTATATTACTTCTATTGATGTTTGCCTAATTCATAAATAATATAAAAGGCAGGTGGGAAGGAGAAAAGGCAAGAAAATAAGATACAGATGGGATGGAGCACCAACAACATGCTAGTTTGTGTATGAAACCTCATACTTGATATTGTAAAGGATCTACAAAATAGGACTATATAAATCCCTTTGTGTTGAGCTGTTAAGGAGATTCACTAGTTATTCTGTTGCGTCCTAATTTTATCTTATCATTGCCCACAGTCTATTCCTCTGTTCCAGATGTCTAGGCTCCAGTCCATCTACTTAAATAATATTTATTGATCCTGCTCTGCAGGTCCCCACTCATTTGTTTCTTTGAATACATTATTGAATTATTCTTGTCTGCATTTCACCTAGCTAAACCTCTACACTGTTCTACTTGCTCTACATTCTGTGCAACTCAGTCACAGAACTAACTAGAGTGGGCCCTGGTGCTAGCTCAAGGGAAGCCAAAAGGTAAGAAGAGTTGTAATTGTGAGCAGTATCCTTGTGGATGAAAGCATGCATTTGTATGGAATATGTGTGTGAATATAGGATTGTATTTGTATGTACTCTTGCCATTTTAATTCTGCGTTTGTAGTGTTGGCCTTCAAACGCAGATGTGCATTTGTGTGTAGTGTTTTAATGCAGAGGTGTATATGTAGTGTTGACATTTGAATGCAGTGTGCAATGTTGGTGTTTGAATACAGGGGTTTATTTGTGTATAGTGTTGGCGTTTGAATGGTAGTATATACACACTGACACAAATAAACAAACACACTGACAGCCTGAGAGAGGCTCGGTCACATTGTTTAAGGGCCTGGCACCTGACCTCACTTTTGTCATCTCAGTTACTATGGTGCAGGAGGTGCTGCATTATCTTAAGGGGTTAAATTTTTAACTAACAGTTTAACCTCAAAGTGCTCCCATCAGAGTCAATGTGGTATGCTGCTGCTCTCAATCTACTATCGGTATTCATGGAAAGGCTTTCGAATGCAAGTCTTGACTAAAGGAGGAGGCAGGAGAGCCATCAGAGGCACTTATGGGTTAAACCATTCGTAAACAGTAAGATAAGATAAATTCCTCCAGGCACTACAACAACATCATTGAGATGCACTGAGTGTGCCGTTTTGTATTTAACATAAATAATTAATTTTCACTTTAGCAATGCTGACACTTTAATGAAAACAATGTCACTGAGGGGACACCAACGCGTTGTTGTTTAATATAGACTTAATTTGCACTTTTACTAAATTGTGCTTTGCTGCTATACATTTAATTGTAATTCATAAGGTACAAACTATTGTCAGATTATTTTTTCTATATCTGAAAGAAACTACACTGGGATAAAGGTTAATCATAATAAGTTGTATAACATTGAGCACAAAATGGAAATCGTGACTTTATAAATACTGAAACAATAATGTTGTTACAAGCTGATTTATTTTTCAAAAGCATCATTTACGGTAATGATCCCAATTACCCAAGTACAAAGTAATGACAATTTCAGAAATGTTGACAACTGCAGTAACTATGTCAAATGAATGTCACACGTTCACAATGTCATCTGCAAAGGTTGCACATTTGTAAAAAGTAGCGATTCCTTGCTAAAATCAGGGTATTAAAATGAGGCAATGTATTATTTAAAAGTATTCCCGGATTTTCAGTGTGTCTTTTATGCAGTATGGCACTGTGAATATCAAAATGTCCATAAATATCAAGTCAAGTAATAACAAAAGATTATTTAAAAACTTGCAGGACATTAAGGAATGCAATCAGGCAGAGGTGAGGAACATACCCTATATTGTATGCCAAACAGCTTTCACTTAAATTGGCTATAATAAGCTGCCTGTGGTAATCGGAATACCTAATGAGCTTGAGGTGCCTCTTGAAGGCAGATGTGCACGTTCACACCACCTAAACTGGAACCTGTAGATATAATATAGCTCATGTTGGGGTCCGTGTCCAAATATGTTAACCCATTTTTTTTATACAACTTTAATTTACTTTGCAATGTGAAATTCAATCTGTAAAGCATCACTTACCAACATTTATACTACATGAATACGCTTGCAAAGAAACAAATGTCTCTGCCTGGAGTCCTTTCCAACAATGTCCTAAAAAATAAAGCCTCTCTACCCCCTTTCCAAACAGTATTGGACATAAACTTCAAAGATATCATTCCTACAGTCAGGGTAGGAGCAGTGATAGCTATCTCTCATACCTCTTTTATACCCCTTAGCATTACAGAGATTGCTATAAGACTTATTTTAAAAACCTTTAGGCACCAGAAGCACTAAAGCATAATATCATTGCAGTGTTTACATTTGTCCTGAAGGACACCTCTAATGACATTAGGAGCCTTCACATTCTGCATGAAAATTACCTACCCATAGATATGCCATGGGATAATGTATCTCTATGAGGAAATGCAGATTAGTGCATCAAGGTGGTTCCACTGTAGAGCCCCATTGCTGCTCTTTGGAGAGGCATTAGACTGCCTGAAATCATCAGTAATGATGATCCCAACCAGGAGCAGAGCCACAATAATGGATGAAAGTTTTACTATGGCACCATTAATCTACACATTTAAAATCACGTGTGTATATATAATAATGTGCTGCTTTCTTCATAAATATAACCTGTGCAGGGTTGCCATCAGAAATTTTGGGGCCTCTAACACAGCTCATGGTCTGGGCCCCTGGGGCCTACCCCCCAGTTTGCCCACAGGGCTTGCCCCTGAGTCCACCCACTGGTATTAAGTGTGTGTGTATGTATAGTGGATGTATAATGTGTGTAGTGGATGCGGGGTGTTTCATGGATGTAGTGTGTATAGTGGATGCAGATTTACATTTGTTTAATCTATCTAGTGTTTGTGTGTACTAGATGCAGAGTGTGTGTTTGTGCAGTGGATGTAGTTTGTGTAAAGTAAATGCAGGGTGTGTGTTTTTGTAGTGGATGTAGTGTGTGTAAAGTGAATGCAGATTGTGTGTTTGTGTAGTGTATGTAGTGTATGTATAGTGACTGCAGAGTTTGTGTTTGTATAGTGTGTCTAGTGACTGCAGAGTGGCTATAGTGAATGTAGTGTGTGTGTAGTGAATGCATAATGTATGTATTGAATGTAGTGTGTGTGTAGTGAATGCAGACTTTGTGTAGGCATGCAGTGTGTGTAGTGACTGCATGGTATGTATAGTGAATGTAGTGTGTGTGTGTGGAGTGTGTATAGTGAATGTAGTGTATATAGTGTGTGTGTAGTGACTGCAGAGTTTGCGTTTGTGTAGTGAATGTAGTGTGTGTGTAGTGTCTGCAGCATGTGTGTTTGTGTAAGGATGTAGTGTGTGTATAGTGACTGCAGAGTGTGTATAGTGACTACAGAGTGTGTGTAGTGAATGCGGAGTGTGTGTAGTGAATGTGTAGTCTGTGTTTGTGTAGTGAATGCAGTGTGTGTAGGGACTGCATTCTGTGGGGAATAAAAAGCATTTTTGTGGGCAGGGATTTTTTTAACTTTTATTTGAGTATTTTTTATTTAATTACCTGACGTGTAATGGGAGATGCATTCTCTGGGGCTCCAGTGGCATAGTGGAGGGAGCCAGCAGCAGCACACGGCAGAGGAGGCCCAGCACAAGCCGTCTTAGACCTCCAACAGCTCCTCAGACTCTCACAAGACGGCTCTGACGGCCACAGAGCTTGCAGGATTTAGTGAGTAGAGATCACCTGGAAGGTTAAGACAGTGTGTGCAAGGCCCCGCTTTGCAGTGTTCAGGTAGCTGGGGACCTGCAGTGCACATATAGATAGTGATAATTGCTATCTATATGTCTTGGTTGTCATACCCTGATGGTGGCCCTGAATCTGTGTATCATTATAGTATTGATGACATAGGCCTGGACGTTTGCCTGAATACACCATTTCCTTTGAGTTCATTGACAGTCTCCTCTGATCCTGCAATCTACAACAACTCCCCATCATACATAATCATCATAGCCTGGTGATAGTGAGGAATTTTCTCTGTCAGGAATTTCCTCTTGCCAAGGTCTTTTGTATCAATTTGCAACTCTCTGCATTTCTCCTCTGTCCCCAAACCAGCTGGTTAGGAGCTCCAATGAACGAGACAAGACAAAGTAAGGTTCAAAGTGACTTCTGACATTTAATGGACGGTGTAACAGGTTATATTCAGTAGGAAACAGGGGTGGTCGTTACAAGCATTATCCAATCCTAATAAAATCATCTATCTTATCTTAACATCTTAACCTATAGCAAGCTTGCAGGTGTATCTTCATGTTCAGGCCTTGCTCAAAGCTAAGTTTCACTATAACTACGCATTTAGGATTAATATGCATACGCACTTAGAATTAAAGATATTTACTATGCAGTTCTAAATTACACATTCCTATGCAGTTATGATCAAAAGGGAGAAACACAGGAAATAAGGCCAACAGCAGAAACATACAGGATATAACACTAACACTTGTTACACAATGTTCTATAGCTTTTGTCTAGGGGTGTATTCACTAAGCATTGGATATAGATAAAGTATATTATTTTAAATAGCTGACATGTTCCAAGTTAGCCAATTTTAAACAGACTGAACATCCTGTCATGTGTAGCTTAAACCTTGGGTCAGTATAGGCAAAGTGTATTATTCCCAACACCTGGTAACCTGTATGTCTTCTGGGAAATATCCCAGTGGGCCAGTCAAGCCCTGGAGACCATTGAGATTCTGGAACACCAACCTAAACAGTACTGGACTGGTAAAGGTCCTACACAATTCTTGCCTGTTATCTTACTCCTGCATTATGCTAACACACCTCCAGTTACTTTTAATCTGAGAATAGCATGAAGCAAAAGTTTACACATTTTGTTAGTGGCCCAGGGGGAAATTGCCCCTTTGCCTTCCTTGCTATCCCTGGATAGTAGTTATGAAACAATTAGAATAATAATTGCATAATAATAATCTTATAATATCCTACTCATAGGCCTTGACATAACCTGTCTGGGTAATAATTTTCGCTTAAACTACATCCAGATCTGCAGATATTTTCAGGAGGTCCTGAGTATCTCCTCTGGTCATCAACATGGGGGTCTTTAGGGACCAGACTAGACTGTGATCCTTAAGGGGTCATAAATGTGGCCTTTAAAGGGTCAAACACAGAGTGCCAGGTGTAAGTTTAGTGAAACAAAGATTTGTCCTTGATTGATACTATTATTTTACATGTGTTTGTTAGCGACCTTCCGGTGGACGCTGGAAACCGTGTCTCGTTTTTTGCTGATCACACAGCATTATGAAAGGCAATATGCTGAATAGCATGGCCTAAAATTGAATGCCGCCGCTGTAGACTGCAATGTCATTTATCTTTCTTTCAAAAGTTTGTGCAGTCTGTTTTTACTAAGACAAAGTTGTGACGTCTCACTATAAAATGTGAGGACTGCTAACAGCATGCTTGCTTGCAACTGTATATTCCCTCCTGATTGTCTGGACCATTTTGTTTTTGTTACACATATGATTATTATAAAAAAATGTTGCTCTTTTTTTTTAATTTGGGGTTTTCTATAATTTGTTTGCATAATTTTTTGTCAAAATCCACAATTCACTGTTAAAAAATCCTATTGCCTTTCAACATTAGAATTATTGGACAAGATGGTCAACCCCAAATTTAGAAAATGGACATGTAGAAAAGAGCAATTAGCATCATCAGGTTGTTCATTACTAAGGATTGGGAAGCCACTTGTTTAAGAGTTAGTTTGCTCCAATAAACAGTGCTAAATTTAGGGCTATATATTTGATGGGCCTAATGAGGGAATTCAAACTTTCATTTCCATTGTCACAGTAGCTGTTATGGACTACTTATGTGACATATAGTCATAGGCGTGCACATGGGTTGTGCCAAGGCACACCCTAACAAAGCCGGCATTCTGGCTTCAGCACAAACCGGCAGGGAGATCAATCAAAAGATCTCCCTGACCAGCCCTTTTTTATTGAGCATGACACGGATTGATTCTGATCTGGCCAGCTGCAAGACAGCAGTGAGATTAAAAAATCCATCCCTGGTGGTCCGTGGTGCAAACACATTTCCTCACAGTTTCGGTGCTCTGTGAGAGGGTCAGAATGCAGGCTCCAGGTTCTCCAGTCTGCCCTCTGATGTCATCACAGAGTGCCAGATCAGAATAATTATAGGAGGGGGACAGAGGCTGAGTAAGGGGACAGGGCTGAGGAGGGGGACAGGGGCTGATTAAGGGGACAGGGCTGAGGAAGAGGGACAGGGGCTGAGTAAAGGGGCAGGGGCTGAGTAAGGAGACAAGGCTGAGGAAGGGTACAGGGGCTGTGGAAAGGGACAGGGACTGTTTAAAAATCTGAGTAACCCAGCCAGAGGCAGGGGATTCGGATTTTTGCATCCGCCTGCACTGGCGCCCTAAGGCGGCCACTTGTACCGCCTTAAGGATGCACTGGCCCTGGATGGCTAACAGGTTTTTTGATTGAGCTGTTCAACAAGAGTGACTTTAAAGGTAGGATAACAGCTTTAGAGTTTCTACAACAATTCTTAATATATAATGCATTATAATAAACTATATTAGGGGGAAAAAATCTTTTAAAGTTGATGTTCTTGCTAGTAATACCCAGCACACCTGTCCATCAAACCTTTACAAGAAAATGTCACCTTTACAACAAATGACTTTATAAGTATATGAATAATGTTTACAGACATGATTTCAGCTTCGTCTATTTCACAGAAAGCTGCAAAGTAGTCTATGAGATGAGATGAATTGTTTCTTGGCTTGCATCTTCCAAGTAGTTACCAGTTTGCCTGAATATTCTATAAGATATCTATATAAAATACATTTTGGCTCAATCACATCATATTTCAGACAACCCAACAAAATGTGAATATATATGAAAGACATAAACACACACTTACTTCCTGTCTTTTGAAATTCTGCACGTATTCCTCAAATTGTTCATCTTTTGTTTCATCTGCTTTTCCTAATTTCTGAAGGACCTGTAAATTAAACAAAAAAAACACTAAGAAAGGTACGCACCAAAACACTGCTCTTAACATATTAACTTTGCATTAATTTTTACAGTTAAAGAATAATGAAGTTAATGATCAGTAACTAATAATCCATGTAAATAAATGATAATATTTATGTGTAACATTTTTTGGTGTGCTCATTATACTGCAGTTCTCTCCATGTAACTTATTTTTAGCAGAAACACAATAAATTCACCACACATACCCTTTATTGTGAATGAGGAGCTGCTGATTGGCTTAGAGCATCAGCTGAACCACTATTTCAAAAGCTGGATTCCCCTGGGCGACCTGGAGATTTAGCTTTGGAGGCAGCCTTTAGAGTTAAACCATTCAAGAAAAATTTAACTCCCTTAACGTGGCTTCCTGGAATCATAACAACGTAATTTTGATGTTGTTATGGTGACCAGAGCGTTTTCCTTGTTTTGATACCTGTAGTGGCTACATCTGCATGTAGAGGTGTTTTGTCGCACTTGCCACTGTTCCTTGGCTTACTAGTTACTAGCCTACCCAAGATCAGTGTCAATTACGTTACATAGTTGCATAGCTAATAAGGGATTCGTCCATCAAGTTCAGCCCTTTTCACATTTATTTTTGCTGTTGATCTAAAAGAAGGCACAAAACACAGTTTGAACCTCCTTGGATCAAAAAGCTATTATCACACTAATTAAAAATTATATCCCTGTATAATATGTTTTTGCAAGTATTTAATCCAGTTTCTGTTTAAACATCTGTATAGACTCTGATATAACCAACTCTTCAAGCAGAGAATTCCACATCCTTGTTCTTACTGTAAACAAATAATTTCCTTTGCCCTAGACCAGTGGTTCCCAAACTTTTTAGGATCATGGCACCCTTAATATTTTAGTATTTTTCCAAGGTACCCCAAGTCAAAATTTCTAGGTTGTATATCTGTACAGCACTTCGTCATTTAATGGCCGTATAGTGTAATGTGCAGTGTTAGTGTTTGAAGGGATGCCTGTATACATTTATTGTGTTTTAATACAGGTGTGTTTGTATGTAATGTTTGTGTTTGATTGCAGGGATGTGTCTGAATGTAATGTTCCCTTTTAAATATGGATGTACATTTGTGTGGAAGGGTGTGTTTGTATATTTTTTTGAGTTTTTATACAGGGGTGTGTTTGTATGTAATATTTGTGTTAGATTGCAGGAGTGTGCTTGTAAGTTGTGCTGGTGTTAGACTGCTTGAATGTATGCACATACACTACCACATACATACATACATTCATACATGCTTACACAGATATTCATGCACATTAACACACAGGTGCATTTAAATACACCGACACACACACAAATTCATAGAGACACATACACACATATAGATACACACCGCCAAATATACACATGCACCCTGATACACACAAACATTGATACATGCCCACACCATGACACAGATACACACACCCTGACACACAGATGCACATACACAGATGTGTGCACAGACACAGGAGCACACTGACATATATACACACACACACATATGCACACCCTGACATACACACACTCATAAACACCCTGACTCACACACCCATACTCATTCACACTCATACACATACACACTCATACACATACACTCATACAAGTGATTTTTTTATATATATATATATATATATATATATATATCTCCAGCCACCCTCCTGTTAGCTTACCTTATGTGCCAGGAAGGTGGCTTGGAGTCCTGCTGCTGTGGGAGTGAGAGATCTGAAGCTCTTCATGCTCCTCTCTCCCCTCACGTTGTGGCTGCCTTCTCTCCCTCCCGCACTGCCTCCCTCCCTGTCACTTCCTCCCAGCCGGCCGACTTTACAGGGGTTCGGTCACAGTTTTAAAGGACTGCGGCACTCGACTGGGTCCCTATTTAGCTGGATGTTTCCACCAGTGCTATAATGACAGCACCGGGGAAATATTTAGCGGCACCCCTGTGTGCACGTCGCGCACACAGTTTGAGAACCGCTGCCCTAGACTAAATCTTCTTTCTTCCAGTCTAAATGCATGACCTTGTGTCCTATGTATAGTCTGGTTTATGAATAATTCATGTATTCTCCATTGCTGCACGGTCTCATGATCTACCCTTTATTTCAGAGAGAGATACACATGTGCAAGATATGCAGTGTTTATTGACCAAATAATTTACATTCCCTGGTTATGCTATTCTTTCACACATATAAAAATTAAACTAAATGGGAAAATTGTGTTGTTGTATTCATTTTTATGCAGTGTATTTCTCATATTCTTTTCACATATGCCCAGAACATCAGGTTTAAATAATGAGCTTCTTTCTCAAGACACATCCATGTGAGTTTTCTAGCTCTCTCCAGAATTTCACACCATTCTCAGCTTGTGTTAATCTATCCTATTTTTAGAAAGGGTGATCTCAATAAGATTAGGCTGCCTACTGACTAATTTAAAATTGTTCAGTGATTTTTTTCAGTCTACCTTTTTCCCTCTCCAGTCCTACTACGCATAATAAATAATAATATTCTAAAATTCATTGAAATGCCACACACCTAAATGCACCATTTTATCGTATAAAAATACAAGCAAGAAATATTGACATAAATCCAGTGTTTCAATATGGCCAAATCCCAAAAAAATTATAGCAATACCTAGCATATAGATTTTAACCAACTAGTTTTAAAATAAAGGAGACCCCTTTACTGGATTACTACTCTCAGGGTCATTTACTAAAGTGAGAATTCAAAGTGCATTTGAAATTTAAGGCTAGAGGAGCCAAACTGAAAGAATAGCATACTAAGAAAAGGTTTCCAGTTCAGCTACTCTGACCTTACATTTTAAATTCACTTTGAATTCTCCTCACTTTAGTGAATAACTCTGTGTATCTATAAACATTCAGTTCTCATTCATCAAAACTTATGGTAAGTGCATTTTTATTTTTATTTCTAACTGCCTCTTACATAGAATTGCCATGTTTACCATTTATGTATTAATCTTACTTTCGTTTTAATGATTATTTACACTTCTCATATCATTATGAAGCATTCCTGTATTTCAAGAAAATAATGTGTAAATATTCTCACCTTAATTAATATAATTATTCTTTTATAAGAGCCTGTGAAAACTACAAACAACTCTGTGGAGTCTGACCTGCCATGGCTTAGTTCATCAACATTGATGATCTCAGCCAATCCAATGCTTTTCTATAGGAAAGCATTGGAAGGCTATTGTACATGCATGTACATCCCATAGTACAGCGCTACGGAATCTGATAGCGCTATATAAATAATAATAATAGCAAAATGCCACACCGCACCATTTAGCATCTCTTCATAGAGATGCAGTGAATCACTGCATCTCTATGGAGAGTGTCCAGCATATCCCTGCAGAGGAACTGATCTTGAAATCCTGAATAGGAAGAACTTCTAGTGGCTGTCTGAGTGACATTCACACAAGGTGTTACTAGGCAATAATGTAAACATTGCTTTTTCTATGAAAAGGCAGCATTTACATTGAAAATCCTGCAAGGACATGCTATAGACACCAAACCAACCACATTAAGCTGTAGTGATTCCAGTGACTATAGTGCCCCTTTAAGCATTACATTTGGGTTTAATTTCCCTTTAATAATTATAAAGTCTTTCTCGTTGTCATTGTGACCTGTTCAGATATTATGCTTCTTGTAACGGATCACCTGGCACCCCAACTGGGTACCTCCGTTGATGGATGCTCCTAGCGTTTCCTGAGGACTCCAAGCACTCTGGAAGACACCACAATCACCGAACCGGAGAAGCGTATACCTTCTCTCAAGCCTATGAATGCTATAAACAGCTGAATAGGCAAAAACCATACGGATGGGTTTAGACTCCTAGCAGTCAAACTGGAACAGCATACAATAAATCCTTCCCCAATAATGAGACGACACTTCACTTTGAGGGTTAAGCAGGAACTCTAGATTTATTCACACAACCTCCTTTTAAGACATTCTCCCATGCAAGGGAGGGATCCAAAACAATTAGTACCCAAGCCAATAATGTACCAGTTACCTTCCACACATCTCCTCCCCTTAGTGTGACACATAATCCCATTAGTACAGACACAAATTCCCTGGGTTACTGGATGTACCCCTAAACATAGGGTTACCCCTTTAAATGTTACATCCCCTGGTAGCCCTGATATGGGTGAGACACATATCCAAAAATCACCCAGATCGAACCAGGGGTTCGGGAATTATGGAGGGTTAAAGTTTTGACCGACTGCATGGCAAAAGTATCTGATAATAGTGCCATGTATTTTGGCCCTGCAGTCGGTCACAGAAAAGGGAATGAAAACACACGAATTGCCTGGGTTATAGAGCCTGGGGAGGGTTTAAACGAATTCCCTTGTTCGTGGGGTTCTTTCTACTGAACGGCGGGTCATTCGGTAGTTTCCACACGAATTCATGGAAGTCTGGAGGTCTCAGCGGTGTTTGCCTAGTCGAGTGTCCGATTTTAGTTCCAGACACTCGACTGCAAAACACCGCTGTTCGGGAGTTTAAGATGGCCTCTGCCACGTGTTCGTTTCCCGAATGGCGGCCACCCAGAGGACAAAACCACACATTACATCGATTGCCAATTACCCGTTTGCAACATTGTTGTTCGGTTGTTTCACTCAATATAATGAATGGAGTGATTCTACCGAACAATCAGGGGAATGCTGCATACACATATACAATTTAGCCGAACACACAGAAACATACATAATATAAAATACATCCTTACTGTAATCTGCTACCAAGTCTTAAAGGGGTATTGTTCCTAAAAGTCATAATATGTCCCCGGATGGCCCTTAAAGTGCCAGTAGCAGCAATATAAAATATCACATGCCCAAATATTGCATTAAAAGTACAAATTTACCAGGGGCCATAGTCAGCAGGTAGGAGGCGGGCAGCCAGGCCTCTCCAAGGTCCAGTGGCGAGGCGGGTTCCGCCACACTTCTAAATTAAGATTGCTGTGAAATTTAATAGGATGTTCATCATTAGGCCTAACATTTTATACTGGCAGAACCAAATTCGACAAAGTGGCAACCTTTCCACTTACTCATTACTACTACTAGCTTTGGTGTAAACCATGGCTTTCAGATGGATGGCATTTAGTCTTGAAGCTCAAGATCATCAGCGATATAAAGGTGAGCAACTACACTTTAAAATATGTAAAAGTTATATCAGAAGGCATATCTGATAATGGTACTTAGGTAACATGATGGAGGATGTGGGTGGGTATTATCTACCGTGGTCAATATTTTTTTAAACAACATAATTAAAACTAAAAATATGTACGTTTGTGCTATAAATATTTGTATATCCTTGGAAAATTGGTGATACATGTACCATTTTTAAAGAAAACATGAGTGAGTAGGCAAAACACATTTCTTTTATTTCTTATGTGATTCATATTCAACTGTAGGTTATAACAGAATGGCACAATCATAAAACAAAACATGGAAACAAACACAAAAAAGGAAATTACCCCTGTTTGTCTGCATACCCTTAGTTCGTAATACTGTGTATTGCACCCTTTAGCATCAATGACAATGTGCAGTCTTTTGTAATAGTTGTCTATGAGGCCCCTAATTCTTGCATTTGGTATAGCTGCCCATTGGTCTTGGCAAAATACTTCCAGGTCATGCAAAGTCTTTGGTCGTCTTGCATGAACCACACAATTGAGATCTCCCCAGAGTGGTTCAATGATATTAAGGTCAGGAGACTGTAATGGCCACTACAGAACCTTCACATTTTTCTGTTACCACTGGAGGGTCAACTTGGCCTTGTGCTTAGGGTCATTGTCATGCTGGAAAGTCCGAGACCGTCCCATTCTCAGCCTTCGTGCAGAAAAATGCAAATTGTCTGCCAGTATTTTCTGATAACATTCTGCATTCATCTTGCCATCGATATTCACAAGATTCCCTGTGCCTTTAGAGCTCACACATTCCCAAAACATCTGTGAGCCACCACCATGCTTCACATTGGGGATGGTATTCATTTCACTATTGGCCTTGTTGACGCCTCTCCAAACATAGCACTTATGGTTGTGACCATAAAGCTCTATTTTGGTCTTGGCATTTCAAGGTATTGTTGGGCATATTGTAACCGGGCTTTTATGTGCCATTGGCGCAGTAAAGGCTTCTTTCTGGCAACTCGCCCATGCAGTTAATTGTTGTTCAAGTATCGTCATGTTGTGCTCCTTGCAGTGGTGGATCCGGGGGGGAGGGGGCAACGGGGCATACAAACATTGCCCCACACACACACTGCCCCCATACACACATTGCCTCACAGACACATACAGTGCCCCACACACACTGCCCCGCCCATACACACATTGCCCCACATACACACGACCCTCCCATACACACACTGACCCACACACACACTGCCCCCCATACACACATTTCCCCCATACACACATGGCCCCCCACACACACACACAGTGCGCCCCATACACACACTGCCCCCACACAGACACTGCCCATACACACACTGCCCACACATTGACACATTCACTGCCCCCTCACACACACACACACTGCCCCACATACATTGCCACACACACTGCCCCAAACACACATACACTGCAAGCCTCACACACACACTGCCCCCTCACACACACACTGCCCCACACATACTTCACTCCTGACATATACTGCCACCCTCACGCACTCACACACACACTTCACCGCTCACACACTACACCCCACACACACAAACACACTGCACCTTTCACACACACTGCAACCCTCACACATACCACTGCTCCTATGCCCTATATCGCAGCAGACCCCAGGTAAGTTATCAAACTGTTCTTAAACGGTTTGACTACTTACTCTGGGATGGGGTCCTTGCACTACTGGCACCATAACAACTACACTGAGCTGTAGTGGTTATTGTGCCTGGATTATTTATTTAAATAATCTACAAGAGCCTCCCCATCCCCGGGAGATCCGGCTCTGCATCCGCCACTGGCTCCTTGAAACAATAACACTGTCTTTTTCCAGAGCAGCCTGTATTTCTCCTGAGGCTGCCTGTGGGTTTTTCCTTTGAATCCAGAACAATTATTCTAGTAGTTGTGACTGAAATCTTTCTTGGTCTACCTGACCTTGGCTTGGTATCAAGAGATCCCCAAATGTTCCACTTCTTATAAGTGATTGAACAGTACTGACTAATATTTTCAAAGTTTTGGATATCTTTTTATATCCTTTTCCATCTTTATAAAATTCCATTGCAGGTCTTTTGACAGTTCTTTTCTGCTCCCCATGGCTCTGTATGTGGCCTGCTTAGTGCATCCACGTGAGAGCTTCCAAAAACTCATTATACACAGACACTAATTGCAATTTCAAAATCCACAGGTGTGGGAAATTAACCTTTAATTGTCATTTTAACCTGTGTGTGTCACCTTGTGTGTCTGTAACAAGGCCAAACATCCAAGAGTATGTAAACTTTTGATGAGGGCCATTTGGGTGAGTTCTGTTATCAGTATGATTTAAAAACGAGCTAAACAATCATGTGATAGTAAATGGCTTCATATGATCACTATCCATCAGTAAAATAAATGTTTTGCATGATTAGTCATATTTTCAAAATCAATGCCAAGATTTCACAAATTCTGCCAGGGTATGCAAACTTTTGAGCACAACTGTATGTATGCAGTCTGTGCAGTTCAAATCTAGAGAGGTGGAATATTGCTGGGGTTGCTGGGATATGCACTTTAACACTGAGCCGCAGTTATATTCATTAACAAAAATGAACTTAACTGCTGCCTCAAGGTAATAGTAACAGCTCCACCCAACAGACCCTTAAATGCAGGACTTTTCAGTGCCAGATGGATGTAGCTAACGTTGATCGTCCTCTTCCTGATCTCGTTACCCTCCCTTCATATGCCCCACCCTTTCACAAGTATGGACATTATAGGAAATATAGTCTTCAGAAACCAAGGGAATTATGGACACTTGTTATGAAGCTTAAGTATAACTGTGCACATTTTAGAAACACACAACTAATTCACAGCATTGTTTATTTGATTAAATTTTGTCAGACATATTATGCATCTGACAATTTTAATTCCTCAGTAATAAGCCATTGTGCGCATTGATAGGAGAACTCTATAAATAAGTATAGGTTATCATGGTGCAGGAGTGAGCCTGTAATAATATTTAACTTTAAACTTTCATGATGCCATTAAAACAAAGCCGACTGGCATTTCAGATTGCATTCTTTTCATTTAAACTAATTATATCATGAAAGGTCTGTGGTTTATCACAGTGAGCTAAAAATAATGGTGTAACCAAAGATGCAGATCTATTTTTACATTATATATGCCACACAATGCTTTATTTAGGAATTTTATTTAGTATAGTATTTGTGCTCTGGATACATCTAACAGTTTTATTTTTTATGTTTTATGAAAAACCATGAGAATATAAAAGTGAAAATGACATTTTATATAATATATACTGTCCTGTGTTACCACCAAAACAAATCTAACACTATGAACACATGCATTCAATATACAGTTGGCTGCAAGTCTAGTCATTGATAGGGTCATCCTCTTTTACCTAAGGTTGTCCATCTAGTGTACAAGAATTTTAGAAAAATTGTGTGCAAATTACATGATTAAAATGTTCCACTCACCCTTGGTAAGGGTTAATTAAGCTGTGGCAAGCCAAGATTACTTGTAGCCACAGGTGGAAACCATCAGTAGTTCTTCAGTCCCTAAAGGCTAAATGATCAGGTTCCCTGGTGACTAGAGATGTACTAGAGCTAGTTCAAATGTCACAGCTTCCCGATGGCTTACACAGTAATGATGCCGGGCACTGGGAGAAATGTCACTTTTCACTACAATGTTAGTCGCCAGAAAATATGGTCTAATAGCTGAAGCACAACTACAAAAAGAGGCTTCCTGATAGTTAAGTTAAAACGTTAAGGAGAGCATTCACATCTATGAGTGTAAGGCACTATCCCAAATCATTATATATATATATATATATATATATATATATATACCCAAGAGGGATTAATAAAGAGTTTTTCGTTTTTTGCTCTCTGCGCTCCACTTTTATATTTATAATTGCAGAGTAGCTTTTTTCACATAAGGATACAAGGTCTTTTTGGGAGGCAGATTGTTCATAATCTGCAACCCATTAGTCCTATTTTCTCCATATATATATAATTTGATTTGGGATATTTTTAAATAAAGGTGTGTGTGTGTGTGTGTGTGTGTGTTGGGGCTGTTGTATCTCTCTTTAATGATCCCAGTTCTGCAGTTTCATATACCCCCTGGTTCATGGCAGTCTGGAGAATCTGTTGAGAGGTATTAGATATATCAGTAGCTTATGACATTCGTTTAAAAAACAAAACTGTCTAGGTACAGATCTCAGACCTTCGCAGTGTGTATCTGGAAGAGATTTCTGATGATGCCCATACTGTTTGTGGGACATCAGATCCCCAGAATATAAACATGTATATTACCTTCTGTTCTGGGGCTCTCATTATATAGATTAAAAAGAATTCAGATTTTACGATTTTAGCACCTTGTCTCCACCATTTTAATATTTCACCGGCTGCCACAGGAAGGTACTACAGAGAGTTTAAAATGTCTGTTTGGAAAGTTGCAGCATCTTGGGACATTTCACTAATGTTCCTTCAAAATTTAATAGAGAACATTAGGACTACTATTATAGACTGAAATTACTGTATATTAGATAGTAATATTTTTATTTAGTTTTTTTCTTATTTCCATGCTAATATCCTCTGCTTGTGTTCACTGTAGTTATACTGTAATGTTATAATGCATGCTTGGTTTTTTATTAATGCAGTAAATTACAAAAGTAAAGAAAAAATGTAATATTAAGTGGAAAAGCAGTCATTCTCCACTCAAATATATTTGGCATTTGCAAGCATTCATTTATGTTTATTTTGTTTTGTGTTAAACTACCAGACTCTCTGATCAAAATGAATGATGAACCATTACTTGGTCACAAATTAAAAACCACAATTATTTTTCTACATTATAACAAAGAAATACATTTCTGCAACATCTTATTACCTTATACACTTTGAATGAACTAAAATACTTTTGGTCTGGCATGGGGATTAAAGGTCATTTATTACCTTTAGTAAAACAGTTATAGAAAAAGTATTTAATGAGATTAATAATAATTATCCTATCTAGTCAACTGTTTCAAGTAAATGTTTCTCGTTTCAGACAGCAGTATGTAAATGCATATATTTTTCACTGTATCAGCCTTTTTCAAATCTACGGGAGGGATTTTCCATGCATCTTTAAAATCTGTTTCTTAAATGTCCCTTTCTTCAACTCTAGATTGTGTTGTCTTGCTATCTTCAGAAAATACCACACTCTTGCAATTTGTTAAAACCCTTGCTGTATGTTTCTCATATTAATGACTCCACTCAATCCATATGTTGAGGAACATTGACTAAGCACAACAAGATTGTGGTGGCTCAGTGGCAGGTGATGTGTCAAGGGCCCAACATAGTTTTATTAAATCAACAGTCATGAATGGTTGGCACCAGCAGTATTTGTAGCCAGGAACATTGTGGTAAGTGGTTTCTCGCAACACCACAACCATGCTGTAAACCATTGTCTATATTTGTATTGAGAAGGTTGTGCGGAATCATACAGGTTTGAGAAAAATGATCTACCTCCACTTTCCAGTTGAAAAAGGACCACAATTCCCTGGACTGGGGAAATATGTCGGTGACCTGTAACATCTGCCACATGCCTGTTTCCTGCTGCCTGTGTTCAATGGGTTTGAAAAGTCATTCAAACTTTACTCAAACGTATCAATCTATATATGTGTATTGTGCAATGTGTGTTCAATCAACTTCTGGCAACACTATATTGTTATTTCAGTTCCACCACGTCTTCTCTCACATAATCTACATAATACTGACTAATCTCCTCTTCTAGCAGTGGGAATATTTCATTAAAGGGGGACAAAAAATAAAACACCTCAATTTAGATTCCACCAATTCTACGGCTATTGCTTCTTACCTCCTAACATTTCAAAGTGACCATTTTATTTAAGGAGTGTGACTGGGAGTGTGGTCACGTGCAGGGATGTTCTGAGACAATTTAGGCAATTTACTGATAACAATTTACACAACTAAAAGGTAATTTAGTACAAGAACCATGTATCTGATATACACAGACAGATTTCTAAACTCATTTATTGTAGTTTAATGACACATTACTGTGAGTATTATTGCTGTGGTGCTCTGTGACAAATAGACACACCAACAATATGGAGCTCCTAGAAAAGAGAACAGAGAGATTTGAGCCCAAATTGGGACAGTGCTTCCTAAATATGGACGCTTGGTTTGTATGATGCTGTATTCTACAAATCTGCTTGGGCGTTCAGGCCTTGCATTTAGCTTATGCAAGAACTCTCAGCCCACACCAGTTGGCAAATGTACTTTTCTAAACCCTGGCTATTCTCCTAGGATATCATTGCACCTTGCTCAGGAGAGTACTCTTAGTAGAAAAAAAGGTAAATGGAAAAGGAGATGTCAAAATGGAAATGCCTTTAATTTTCATAGATGATAAAGAGAAGCAGTTACTTTAACATTTCAGTATATTAAAAATCTGGGATTCAAGCTGATACACGGTATTACATTTTCAGCTGCAATTGCTGACACAGTTCTTTATACTTTCATCTAATCCATATGGAAACTGGAGATAAATGTAATCCCGCCTTAAATATTTTACTGCATCAGAAATGACTGCAAATTCATGAAAATCTATTTATAAAACAGCATGATTTTTTTTCTAATACCTCTAGGATCATTCAGCTTATTAAGGTACAAGAATATTCCTCAGTTAACTTACATACAGCAAGAGAAAAAAGTATTTGATCCCCTGTTGATTTTGAATTATGTCCACTGACAAGGAAATGAGCAGTGTATAATTTTAATAGTAGGTGTATTTTAACAATGAGAGACAGAATAAAATAAAAAAAAAGCCATAAAAACGCATGTCAAAAAAGTTATAAATTGATTTGCATGTCAATGAGTGAAATAAGTATTGGATCCCCTATCAATCAGCAATTTTTCTGGCTCCCAGGTGTCTTCTATACAGGTAAGTGCTAATAATCTCAGCTTGTTACCTGTATAAAAGACACCTGTCCACAGAAGCAATTTAAAACTTTTTTGACATGTGTTTTTCTGGATTTTTTCCAAAAAATCTTAAGTGCCAAAGGTTGCCTACAACTTACATAGCTAAACATCATCCTTTATTTGCATGATGTTGCTATAAATAAAAAAAAAAAATGATTGAGGCAAAGACCCCAAACCAGCTCTTATGGGTAAGTAATATTGTTACCCATACTATATAAGTTCCTTTTTTGTGATCTTTTGTCTGAGTAGCCTCCTGTCATGTGGGCTTTTAAAGAGTCAATACAAAAAGGAAAATTTGAATGACAAGTTTTGTTAATGTTTCAGATTGCCAATGGCACACTGAAGTCAAGTGGGACTATGTCCAGTTTATCTACCACTATATCATTTGGAAATATAACATTCAAATGAATTTAACAGAACTAGAGGGATTCATGTGTTTAATACAAATTCATGGAGTTACATAAATACATTGACAAGTAGCACAATCTCCAGTGCTTACACTGACATGCGCATAGACATATGTATTTTCTAAAAAAAATTCTCTCTCTTGTTGTACTGCTTATATAAATCGGTTTTCTCAGTCTTTTGGTGTAGCTAAATCCTAGAGCCATTAATTGGCTTATGACAGAAGGTTATTTAAGTTTAATATTCTGGCAGTTTTCAAGATCATTACTCTTAACTTGTGAACAATGTAGAATTTAAATTACATAACTTTCAGTTTTATGCAGCATATAAAAGAAAAGGTGAGCTTATGTATATTAATACATTAAACACACCCGTTTTTATGGCACTATAGGCTCCTGCAGTGCCCCTCTCCCTCACCCCCCTTCAGTCACTTACCTGAATCCAGCACCGATGCAGAGCGTGACGTCCAGCATCAGACAATGGACCAAATCCGTTTCGATTCAAGAAGTCCCTCTAGTGGAGGAGTTAACCCTCAGAGGTAATTATTGGAGTTTCTCATAAACTTCAATTACCACTGTAGGGTTAAGGGGCATGGGACATTGCATCCAGACCACTTTAACCCCTTAAGGACCAAACTTCTGGAATAAAAGGGAATCATGACGTGTCACACACGTCATGTGTCCTTAAGGGGTTAATGAGCTGAAGTGGTCTGGGTGCCTACAGTGTCCATTTAACTTCATTAAATGATGCAATTAAATAGTGATAGCTATATTTTTTGAACACTTACAGTGAACTACATCTAATGTATTGAAGATTTAACAAAATAATTCTGTCTACAAAGTAAAGAGATAAGATAAAACTATTATGTCAAAAGAATAACAATCAAAACCCGACTCATAAAATCTGTGTTCTATCAATACGTGTTCTATCAATACTTTTATCAACTCATGTTTTTAGCAAACCATTTAAAAAAAGCAATAAACAACTTCCTCAGCAAACCCCCCCCCCCCAAAAACCCCAAAACTAATAAGCCCCCAAATGAATGTAGTATTAAACAGGCCTTTAAAATACCTAACAAAAGTCCCTTAGTAAGGATACATTTTTATTTTTTTTAACAAACGCAATGTTTTTGTTTGTTTTATCTTTAAGATTTGTTACTCAAATTTATTTACAGTTTAAAAGGAATGGTGTACAAACAGAGATGCATCTCGTCCACTCTTAGTTCAGTTGATGCAGTCCAGCGTGATCATGCTACTTGCTTAATAGTTTGGGTTATAGCTTGTGGAATTTGGAATACAGATATCGTAACTGGCATGGATTTGGATGCATTTACAGATTTTACCATGCCGATACTATGTGGCCAGTTTATTACCTCCCTGCAATGTATCTATTGATTAGGGCCAGGGGACTCGTGGATGTCACACCACTGTTCTTCACTTTATTAATGCACATACAATGCTCAGTATGTATCTTCAGAGCTGAAATGTGACACAATAAATTAGTATCTTACAGTGTAGGATACTAAAAATACTAACATTGCCTGTTTTATTATATTGATTGTAACATAATGTACTATTTTTTAAATCAGTAGCAGCACTCGCCATCATATAAACCTAGAATTATATTAGAAGAAAGTTAGTAATTTAGGACTAGTGATTTATAACTGCTAACATACTAGATAACAAACAAATGTAGTTTTATTATATAGCTCTCTTACCCTACCCAGTTCCTCTCCTTTTTTATGTATATTTATCTCATAACTTTTTTTATTCTTATCAAGAGAGATTTTTGTTTTTATTGTGGATTTTATTTTTAGATTTTTAAGAAAAAATAAAATAAAATATATATATATATATATATATATATATATATATATATAAAATCCAATGCTTGCACTCCTGTTAAGAGATAATCGGCCTGGTGCTGGTCAGCAATAAATATAAAATAAGTAGTGTAAAGATAGCACTCCAAGTACTTCAGAAATATTTCGTCCTGACGAAAGTTCCATTAGTGAACTAAAACGTTGATCCACCTAGGCTGATGCCTGAATAAAGATATGTTTTTTCACCATATTTCTGAAGTCCTTGGAGTACTATCTTTACACTACTTATTATATATATATATATATATATATATATAGTTAAAAGGGAAAAACAACAACTTATCTGTAATCCAGTGCAGGGACAATCTCTCTCCGATCATACATCCCCCCATCTCTCTTCATCCCCTCCCCCCCCAAAACACATACACACACACACACTGTGAAGTAAAAAATTGATTCATTGTTTAACTAATTTGCATATGCCCACCCAGAATCCCCTGCGGTAGTACCATCACTGCAAATTTGAGATTTATGTGGGAAAAGCAAGTCTTATGGTTTAACTGGTGTGTGAAGATATGTGTTTAACAATGTATTGACTACCCACAGACTTCAGGTGAAAGGTCATTCACTTTCCCCCCACTATTTCCTTGTTTTTTACATTTCTACATTTCTACTTTTTGGTTTGGCAGAACCAAATTTTATTGGCGTCTAATAGTTACTGGGAAACAAGACCAGGAGATGGTTTTATCTAGGTTACATTTAAAAAAAAATAATTTAAATTCTTACTTTAGAATCAAAATGTTTGATCAACGCTGTAAAATATGTCCTAAATTGCTACTCCTTTGTATGTCGTAGGTATACCTTTACAGTGTACTCTTTGAGAAATTTGCTATTGTAGGTAAACTAAGTTAATTTGAGCTCTTATTAGAAAACAGATCAGGATGAACCATAATGCAGCTTCTAGGGCACAGGAGTTAGACAAGGGCCCCACAACTATGAGTTTGCTTGGCCCCATTCATCATCCCTATGTGAATAATGAAGAGGAGGTCCAAAAGCAGTAACCTACCTAGGGCCCAAGTGGGATATTAATCCTGCAGTGTCATATAAATCCAAGCTACTTCAGACAATCTGCAATAATTATCCCAGATCTATTCAGTACAACTCTTATAATGTACATAATAAACAGAGGCTCACTATCATTCTGGTGAGTTCTTTTCTTGCTGTTTGTTGGCTGACCTCTCTTGCCACATGTGTCCCTTGACCTTAGTGAGGGCAAACCTGACCCTATCCGTGGTTTCTATGCTCACAAATTTTAGGAACTTGGATGGAACATTTTGAATTAATTTTAAACCAAAAACACTGAAGCAAATATGTCTGACAAATTATTCGGCACAGACACTTGAGATATAGTGAAATATGCTATTCTCTCTATAGTATCAATGTATTAAATTAATACATATTACATCTTCACTTCTGACTTTTACACGTCTGTTGTAGCTCAGTAACTTAAATAATATCCCTGACCTCAGGGCAGCTTTCTTTTAGATAAATTAGGATTACCTCTTAGTCAGCTGCTTCTTCTTAATAGCCACATGATAAATCTCACTCCATTGAACAGTCTTTTACGCAATCTAAAGATCTAGCTGTATGTAGTGACTAAATTACCTAGTCAGAAATGTGTATGCAAGACATCATTTTATGTACTTTTTTTTTCCAATGTGTAATTTTTTATTAAGAGTTTCCATAAAGAGAGACCGACATAGCAATGATACAAAGGTAACAAACGCTTATATAAGATAATCATCATGGTACACAATAGCTGTATATTCAATTATTAAGTGATTCAGAATTTTTAAGTGGTCTTAGAAGTGTTTCCTGTTTTTCTAAGAGGTGACATTATTCATACTGCACCGTGTGTGTGTATTATTTTTTATAATAAGGCACTTTATATTATTACATAAGCGCTCCACTACTCTAATAGTCAATTATACAAAAATCAGTTTATAGTGAGTTCACAGATCTGTGTTTACATGCAGTGTATCATTGTGTTTGAAGATTATTGACAAATGTGTTGACTTGTGGAAGTCTAATACATAATAGTGAAATAAAGGTAAGGTTGAAATAGCATAAAGGAAACAGAGAACATGAAAAGTTACATACAATGCTTATATGACTTCTTTACGACATTGTTATTTAACTCTTGGTGACTAAAACACACTCATTTGAAAATCAAACATATCCGTATTGGCATATATAATAATGAATATCGCTATAGTTGGGATCGATTTTTAACATTTGTGTCAGGGCTGAACTATGAAGATCAACTACTTATCTATCAGGTTAGTGCCTTATTTAAATAAAACATCCTTGCTGTCAGCCAGCTGTCCCACAACGTGTTACATATGAATTTACAGTAAAACATTGACAGCGAATAGAGACAGTTTTTGTTCCCAATATGTTTTAATACTGTTTGATATGTCTCAACAAGGGTCAGAATACAAAAGTAAAGGGGATAGAAAGGATCCCTTGCATGTGCCATTCGTTATATTGAAACATTTGCAGAAAGGCATGAATATGGTGCTAATATACTCTTAAAGGACCACTATAGGCACCCAGACCACTTCAGCTTAATGAAGTGGTCTGGGTGCCAGGTTCAGCTAGGTTTAACCCTTTTTTCTATAAACATAGCAGTTTCACAGAAACTGCTATGTTTATAATAGGGTTAATCCAGCCTCTAGTGGCTGTCTCATTGACAGCCGCTAGAGGCGCTTCCTCGCTTCTCACTGTGCAAATCACATTGAGAAGACACCAGTGTCCATAGGAAAGCATTATGAATGCGCGCGCGGCTCCTGCTGCGCATGCACATTCAGCCGAAGAGGAGGAGATGAGGAGGAGAGTTCCATGCCTGGCGCTGGAGAAAGAGGTACGTTTAACCCCTTCCACCCCCTAGAGCCCAGCAGGAGGGGGACTCTGAGGGTGGGGGCTCCCTCAGGGCACTATAGTTCCAGGAAAACGAGTATGTTTTCCTGGCACTATAGTGGTCCTTTAAGAGATGAGGGGGAGAATCCAAATTTGATCAGAGTTTATTTCCTTATAAATATCCAGTTTAAGCGATAAAATGCTTTTTCTGCATCCAGCACCAGTATCAGCCTTAGTGTTATGGTTGTTGGAGCCCATTCAATAAAGTTTTAAAAAATGTCTTGTATTATCCCCAACTTTTCCCCCATGACAACTCTGCCTAAATCTGCTAATAATGGACTTATTCGTTTTGCCAAAAACTTAACAACTCTAACTCTAATTTAGTGTCAGCATTTAAAAGAGATCTTGGTCGCAGGTTTGCACAAACCATTAAGGGCTTCCCTGGCATTGGCAAAGTTACAACATGGGCATCCAGCATTTCCTTAAGTAGTGTTCCCGAATTCTTTATGTAGGTAAACAACTTGGTGTTAAATAGGCTAAACTTAATTATGCTTCAAACTTTATATTGCAGTAACGAAAGTAAGAAACCCATTGTGTCCTGGGCCGTATGTTTTGGAAGCATGAGAATCGCTTTACATACTTCTTCAGAAATTGTATATCCTCTAGATCTTGGCTTTGCTGAGGCGATATCCTTGGGAGAGAGATCTCAATTAAAAAAAAAAAAATTCCTCTAGGTTTGAAAGGTTGGTCTTGAGATTGCTGATAGGATTATGAAAATTTGCATAATACCGGGCTACTTTCTCTATAATATAATGTGGATTATATATTTTAGTACCATATGTGGATATAATATATGGAATTTTAGTTTTTAAGTAGTTAGTTTTAAGTTTGAGGGCTAATAATTTTACTGCTTTGTTCCCAAGCATATAGAATTTTAGTTTTAATGTATACATATGTCTTTCTTTAATTTTAGGAGTCATGATATTGTTTTTTGCATAATGGACACACTTTGCATAGTAAACTCCTCATTACTTCATTACTGCTTTGTAGGCCAGTCACTGAGTAAATATAGAAGAGATGGAAACAGGGTTGTTTACAAAATATTTGGATGGCCCTTTGGATTATGGGCAAGTTCTGGAATCAACTAGTAAAGTTTCATGAAACCTCCATTTTCCTCTCTTTCATACAGGGTATAAGGAGTGAAAGGTTACGATAACTTGGGCATGGTAAGACCTTTGACCTATGGTTACATCACGTACATTGGGAATAGTGGTCTTGTCTACCACGCATGTATCAATGTATCAATGTTAGGTGAGCTTGGGAAGAAAAGGAATAGGCAAAGAGATAAAGTGTACACTGGCAGCGCTGGAACCAGCAGCGGCAGAACTACCACTGGTGTAGCCGGTGTGGCTGTACCAAGGCTACATGCCGAAAGGGCCCATCAGGTGGTCCATGCACTTATAAATGTGTCTTCAGGGTCCCATTCAAAACTGCGGCTCTTTAACAGTGCAACATGACCCCTTCAATAATATTGAACCATTTGGGAGGAGCTGACAGAGAAGAGGGAGTGCAGACTGGGAAAGCCTCTGACTCCCAACAGCCTTGTCAGCCAACTGAACCCTAAAAACTGTACATTTTCTGTGTCTGCATGTGTGTATCTGTGTATCTATACATCTGTGTATCGGCATATGTGTCTGTATGTGTATCCGTGTAACTGTTTGTCTGTATGTGTACCTACCTGTGTGTATCTGCATGTGTCTGTCTGTGTATCTGTGTATCTGCATGTGTGTCAGTGTGTGCACCACTGTCTGAATGTGTGTCCATTCTGTGTATCTGTGTTTTTGTACGTGTGCTAGTGTCTGTCTATGTTTCTGCATGTGTGTCACTGTATGTCTGTGTATCTGTATGTCTCCCCATGTTTATATCTGTATGAGTGTCAAAAGGCAAGTAAAACACACAAGTAAGGAACTGATTTCAAATGGCAACAGTACATAGAAATACACAACACTATAGACAAGTACCCTACATTCACACACATAAACTCCATACAAAAAAAAAATGCTTACATTCAAATACACAAATACTGCTTAGTGCTAAATACAATCCTGCAAGGATGGGCAAATGGTAGATCCCCAGCATTGACAAGCATTGTGGGAGTTGTATGACAGATGGAAATCTACATTTTGGCCATGCAAGGCTAATCTATATTTATGGGGACTATTCAATCCCGATACAAAAAAATAAAAAATACCTTAAAAGAATTTGCTATTTTAGATTATAAGAACTAACATTTTTTTCTAATAGAAATAGTTTTCACGTAAATAGCCTTGGGGGTGGTGTTGTAGAAAGCATTAAGAGGGGAAAAGCCCTGTGTATCATATCTAATATTTGCAGACATTTTAACAAGAAATGCCACATATGTATTGAGGCAGATCAAATCTTACCATAAGATAGTTTAAACGGAAAAGTGATAACAAAACCATTAGGTACTGAAAGATACATATAACAAAATAAAATCAACGTTTTGAACAGCTCAAGAGGATATTAATTAGGCATGGCATTAATCATTGAGGTAATTTGGCTACAGATGGAACATCATCCATTTGAGTTCATTAAGTGTTATTCCATTAGGTGAATTAAGACTTTTTTTTTTAATTTTACAAAAAATTCAGCTTTCAATAGAAATTGGTACTTTTCTAAATTAACAATATTAGAGCCCCGTAGCTGTCAGACAACACGTCTGTTACTTACTGGGGTTTAGCTCAGTGGAGATAAATTCAAGAGGCAAGCAATTGCCTGCATTGTCATTTTACAGTGCTATGGAATTTGTTGGTGCTTTATAAATAATAAAATAATAATAATAGCAATAATGATTGCAGAGACTTCTGATTGAGCTGCATTGGAAAGTCTGAGATTGGAGAGTCACAGAAAGTCTGGGCAGTGTTAGAAGGAAAAAGACTTGCATAGGCTTCAGACATGAGATCTATAGCTTTTTGGCAAGCTGTTTTTAGATATACCTCTAATGAAAAAATGCATAATTAAATGCATGCACATTTTCATTTACGGTACACCTACTACACATTTTTTTTTTCCAATTTAATCTATATAATTAGTTAAACAACAGGTACTTTGTCTAATGCAGCGTTTCTCAAACAAGTCCTCAAGACCCACCAACAGTCCAGGTTTTGTTAGTACCTCCATTGGAATAAAACAGGGAAATACATAAATCCTGGACTGTTGGTGGGCCATGAGGACTGGTTTGAGAACCACTGGTCTAATGCATCTGTCACTTTTTCTCAATGTGTGCCCGTAGGTGTGCAACTTGGACTTCCATATCGTAGTCCTTTTAATTCACCCTTGAACAAATCAATTTTCAATCCGAAAATCGATTTACCTGTGGAGTCTAGGACTCCAGAGATCAATCCCAGATGTATTGATTAATTTGTAAATATATAAATATTTGTAAATTTGTCATTGATGTACTTACTAACTATAGATTTATATTGGGCATAAACAGAACAAGCTATACTTCTACATTACACTTCTAAACTAGCAAAGCAAATAAAAAAAAAAATAGCACATAAATTAATTCAACGGTCCAATTCGCAAGCCAAAACATTTAATGAGAAATGTTATATACTATGAAGTGCCACCATATCATATCTGCATGCATAAAACAAACTACTTTATGCTTGAATAGAATGCTTAATGTCAGTGATAATGTTTTTTATTATCCTAATTGGCACATAGCACATTCTGCTTTGCAATATGTGATACAATGTAACATATCAAGTGTTATTAACATATGTATAAGCTGTTACAGAAATGTTAAAGGGACACATCAGTGCCAAGAAAACAATCCATTTTCCTGGCACTGCAGGCCCCCTCTCCCTCCCACCCCCCACCCCAGGTTGCTGATGGGGTGAAAACCCCTTCAGTGACTTACCAAAGTCCAGCACTGATGTCCCTCGGCGCTGGTCCAGGGTCCGCCCACGCTCCTCCACCGCCGACATCAGCCAGCGGGGGAGACCGACTGCGCATGTGTGGCCGCCGGCGGGGGAGACCTAATGCGCATGTGCACACGCGCATTAGACCTCCCCATAGGAAAGCATTGAAAATGCTTTCAATGCTTTCCTATGGGGATTTTAGCGACGCTGGAGGTCCTCACATAGAGTTAACCCTGCAAGGTAATTATTGCAGTTTATAAAAATTTAAATAATTACTCTTGCAGGGTTACGGGTAGTGGGAGTGGGCACCCAGACCACTCCAATGGGCAGAAGTTTCAAGTTTTCCTTGGCAGAATTCCTGCATGCAACTACAGGTTTTGACAAACAATATAATCTGAGTTGCATATCATGATATATGATATAGCGATGATATATTTAAGTCATTCCCAAAATTGAAAGGCACAGAAGGATATGGTATGCAAATGGACAAATATTATATACAGCAGGGGTGCCCAAAATGTAGATCCCCAGATGTTGTAGAACTATAACTCCCATGATGCTTTCCATGCCTTTAGAATGACAAAGCATCATGGTAGCTGTAATTTTAAAAGGAGCTACCTTTTTGACACCCCTGATGGATTCAAATATACACTTAACAAGCATGTATTTTTCAACAGTAACATGGTAATTTGCATAAGGGAGAACTGTCAAGAATACGAAGTAGACTTCAATTTTATGTCAAAAATGGCAAACTTGAAGCATAGTGGACTTGAAGAATTTTTCCAATTCAGCTATTTTTTGACTTAAAATTTGTTACAATTCTCACTTTAGTGAATAACTCTGTCAATGTTAAATAATCACTGTCTTAAACTCCACGTACTATCATCCCCAAATCAAAGGACAAATGTATTCTGTGAGCCAAAGGGAGAAAGTCATTTAAACTAAAATCACACATATAATGGTAATGTTGCACAAAATGTTTAATGTGCATATTTATACATTTGAGCTGAGAAAAGGGGAGGTCCCACTACTTCTACATATTTGATTGATGGAGATATGTGAAACAGTCTTAAACCTTCTGATTATGAGCTGGTGACCTGATGAAATGTTTTTCACTTCTGACTGTAATTAAAATCAAAAATAACTTTTATTAGGAGGCATAATAGGAGAACAGCAGATTAGGATTGTCAGTACAATAAAGGCCCACGTTGCCTAGGTTTTCCCTACAGCACAGTGTTGCAGAATATATTATCACTGTCTAAATGTAATGAAATGTGTACATAGGGAATAATTAAGCACTTTTTTTGCTTGACTTTCTAATGAATATTTGAGTCATATTAGGTTTTTCTCATTCATTGCAGCTGTAATACAGATATGTTAAAGGCGGTATATCTTGGATTAAACCTTGTTTCAGACTATATTTCTCTGTGTGAAATAACCTTAAAACAAAAAAACTTACACGAACAGAAATTTATTGTAGAAACTAGAGGAATTCATGAAGAAATCAAGTGTTTAATTAAAATTCTAATTTCTATACCTTCTATAGAAATCAGACGTTCAATGGGCTATGTTTAACTAGACCGCACAATAAATTGCTCCAAATCAAATGATCACATTCAATGGAAAAAATAGTATATTAACATTTAGTGCAGGGGTAGGCAACCTATGGCACGTGTGCCATGCACGGCACTCGAGGTGCCTTTGCACGGCACTCAAGGCTGCCAGAGCCAAACCGGGTCTGGCTTATCAGGAGTCCCAGTGAAACTTCAGATATCTGCTAAAACAAAAAGGTGGTGAAGGAATTTATGCATTGCAGCACGTAGAGTAAGTGATCTCAGATCACTTTCTCCCGGCACTTGTGAATGGGAATCCACACAGGAGTAGAGCAGCCCGCAGCTGCTGTTGCAGTTCCTGTCCTTGACCTGTACCTGGCCAGCCTGTCCCCATTGGACCCCATGGAAGCCACCAACACTGCTAGATATACATAGAAATGCATAATAACCCACCCCGCATACAAATAATATGAACAGCCCACACACAAACATACACACAATCTGCACAAATGCAACATCCACATACATGCACACAACCCCACATGCAGGCTCTCGCATACAATACCCCAAACAGCCCCACACATACACACACCTCCAAACACACTATGTGACATTTCCATACACACACACACACAATTCGACACAGCCCACATTCATAGGTATTATACATGATACCACAAACTACTCTATGAACATATACAATATAATAGCTCATATACATACAATGATACAAAGCAACTGCAGTATAATAACACAAGCAGAATACAGCAACATACACACCTTAATTTAAAAAAATAGGACCAGCACGCTACGGGCCATCACACTCTTATTTCGGCACAGTGCTGCTAAAAGATTGCCTACCCCTGATCTAGTGTATAATGTATAATGCTGAATGTTTTAGGTGTGGATTTTCCTTTATGAATTCATACCAGACCGTTCTCACACGTGCACTTTACTGTGCATACAAATTGCAGATACTTTTTCGTTACACTTTCTCATTCTAAAACAGAATTTAATTTACCAATGGGATTCAAGCAAAGGGATTTAATCTTACATTGACCATAGATAATTGTAAAAGCATGTCTTTCTTCCTCAACAGGCATCCCCAGAACCTCAGGCTCACCTCCTCAGTTTAATGTGGCTCTATAACTTTGCAGGTTTTTATTTCAAATTATTCCTAATGCTGTCCCTTTATATCCCCTTAAACCATCAAGGGCAGCCATCATTGAAAGGAAAACCAAAAGAAAAAAAAGTAAGAGCCCATAATGAGGCACTAGAGAAAAAAGAATTTGGAAAAATACTCATAGTTCGCCATGCCGTCAGTATCATTGCATTTACCTTAAAGGTACATTATAAGCACCCTGTCCCCCTAGTCCGTCAACCTAAAACATTGCAGTTTTAGAAAGTTTACAATGCAAGGTTAAGACTGCCTCCAGTGGCTATCTTAAAGAAAGGCACTAGAGGCACTTCCTGGCTTTTCAGATTTTAACTCCGTGAAATGATATTGGACATCCTCAAGGATGTCCAGCATCTTGCAAATCCCCATAGAAAAGTATTAATTCAATGTTTCACATGGAGAAAGTCTAATGCGTGTAAGTGCGTTGCTCAACGTGCAAACGCATTAGGTTCTCCCTTGCGTTAATAACGGAGGAGGCGTGGGGCAAAGAGACACTGCTTTGCATTCCTAACACTAAAGTGTAAATCTGAATCACTTTGAATACATTCTGAACTCTCAGTTTATTAAATAACCCTCTCGGGTGTGCTTGGAAGTCTTCTGCACCCAAAGATCCCCTAGCACCATATCCATTTCAATAGGCTGCAGTAGTTGTAAGGTTTGGAATATCCCTTTTTTCTTACTCTGTTTATAGCAACAGATTCTGTGGTTCCTTTACTTCCCTCTCCCCCACAGTCTGCAACACCACTATCTAATGTAATCTGCCAATGTCAAGTTATTTAAAACTGTAAATAATCTTACATAATTATGCAGAATTCTAAGTTACTAGCTACTGTTATGTATTGTTAAGGTAAACAATGTTAATGGTAAATGAATTAATATAATATTACTGTCACTAAACGGAGTGTAATACATCTAACATGTGTCCGCACGCAGCAACAGTAAAGACAAGTCACATTATGCATTTAACAGCATACACTAAGAGTACAACAATATTAGTGATAACTTTATTGATATAAAAGGTCTAAACAAGTTAACATTCTTGCTCTTTTAGTGCTGCAATTAATTGCACAATGTTAGACAAAACAGAAGGCTTGGGGAAATCTTCAGCTAATCTTAAATCCTAAAACTAATCTAAAAAGGTAACTAGGATGCAAAGTCACCTGACACTAGTAATTTCCTCTGTAGTGGTTATGGTGCTTGGAGTCTTCTTGTAAATGTAAGAGTTAGGTAGGGCTTCAAAAATTGTAGAAAAATATAACCTTCTAAGTACACTGTAGTAGAGATTTATAATTGCATAAAATCAGTTTGACACAATTTGTTAGCTTTCTGATGTTATAATGAATGCCTGATATAAACCCACCAAGGAAGAATTTAAGACTTAATTGTCTGTACATATAGATGCAGGCTCACACAGAAAAGAAAATTAATTTGAAAAACAGTGACAGAAGGAACACTGATCTATTAACAAAGACTTTTGAACTTTCTATATGTGTTTATGTGTGCGCGAAAAAATAAGAAATCTAAATTATATTCATTTATATATTTGACAATTGTATAATCTTAAAAAAATATACATAATGTCTCATGAGCAAGGAGAAATTCAAATTCAAGGACATTCAGGATTTCCCTGAGTTACAGTTGCAATCCAAATTATTCAACCCCCAAAAATCAGGTTTATTTTTTTTTTTTACATTTACAGACTTTCAGCTGTTAGCAATGAAAAAATCAAACCAGAACAATTGGAATATGGCAACACAATGAATGCTTTAAGTGGTTTTACCAAATTCAACTGAAAAATCTACTTTTAATGACTTCTCCAGTCTCAAAATTATTCAACCCCCTGGATAAAATCCCTTTCAACAGCACAAATATGCAAAACAGGTGTTCTCTCAAGCACACCTGATGCAACTAATAAAGGGATTCATTAGTTACACCAGGTGAGCTTGAGCTGGAACACTCAAAATACCTGAACTGGCTAGAGATTTGTTGAGTGTCACATTTGACTGCATGTTAGAAAGTCAAAAGAATGGTCCACAAAGTTAAGAGAAAAACCAACATCCTTCACAAACAAGGAACAGGATACCAAAAAGATAGCAAAGGCACTGCATGCTCCTAGAGATACCATTGGAAGCATAGTTAGCAAGTTTAAAGTTGAAGCAACAGAAGTTAAACCACCTAGACAGGGCAGAAGAATAAAGCTATCAATAGCTGCAACCAGATTTCTGAGAAGACAGGTTGTAATACCCCAGAGTGACTGCAAAAGACCTGCAGTAATACTTGGTGGTTACAGGCATGAGCTTTCAGTGAGCACAGTAAAGTATGTACTAAACGCAGAACGCAGGTTTCCATGCCAGAACTCCAAGTTGGCTCCATTATGCTCAAAATCATATAAATAAGCTACAGAAGTTTTGAGATTCTGTTCTGTTGAGCAAGGAAACAAAGCTGAAATTCTTCGGCCCAATGGATCAGTGATATGTTTGGAAATTAAGAAATTAAGCATACACTGAAAAGAACACTCTGCCAACAGTTAAGCATTGTGTAGGCTCGGTGATGCTCTGGGGCTGCTTTGCATTGTCTGGCACTGGAAACCTGCAGCGTGTAGAAGGCAAAATGGAAACATTTAAGTATCAGGAAATCCAAGGAGAAAATGTCAAGCTATCTGTGAGGAAGCTGAAGCTTGGGCGTCATTTGACCTTCCAACACAACAATGATCCAAGCATACCTCAAATTCCATCAATTCTTGCAGTGGCCATTATAGTCACGTGACTTAAACCCAATAGAAAATCTCTGGTTGGATTTGCAGCACACAAACCCAAGAATATTACTGAACTGGTGGCCTCAGGAATGCTGCCAAAATCTAGTTTCTGGCTATGCAGCAGGCCATAATAACAAAACAGTGTAATAGCTGATTGATCAACACACAAACATATCTTTATGTCTATGTTGATCACATTGTTTTTGCAGTAATGATACATTAATGACTCCCTCATAATGCGACTAAATATTATGATCAATTGTATACAATAATTTTTTTCAATGACATTTATATAAAAAGGAAAATCTGCTCATATGTATAACAATATCATAATAATAACAAATGGAGCTGGGGTGGCTGGGGTTTCTGGGAAACTCTACCATCATTAATAAGAAATTGAACAAATCATGTCAAATGGTGGTTTATTGAATTAATACAATCCTGGATGACTACATTACATTCACACATCACAGTTGGATGGTGTATTGCAGGAATACTAGATATATAAAGATTAAGAAGCAGCCACAGCTGCTGCTGCTGCCCAATGTACTCCTCATTGGGTAAGCTGTCTGTCAGCTCTAGGTAGTGTAGGTAGAAAGTGGTACGTAGAGGCCCCAGGTAAAAAGTCAAACCTTTCTAAAATAATTTGACTTCTTACAATAGGGTTGGGGGTTGCCCTAGGGTTGTTTTACTCAACTTTTTACAGAGAAGTACACCTGAAGGTCTGAAAAAACATCCCAAGTACCCCTGTTTCAAAAATAAGTGATTAGTTGAAAGCTAAACAGAGCTCTGCAAAGACAGACATATGTGAACTATCTTAACTTGTCAGTTTTCACTGCCACAACTGGCAATATATCTATAATTGTGTGTGGCTGGAATTGATGTGGACTATAAAGACCACATACATATTTCTATTTTGGCCCATGATTGTTTTGTCATAGGCTATGTATTTATACTAATCTTTTGGAATATTGCAGAGTTTTTGGAAGAAGAATATACGCACGAACGGAAATGTATATGACTTCTTTGTAGCCAATGATGAACATTTGAGAGCAAGTTTAACATGGGGCTCCCCTCGTAGTCAGATTATATCTGGAAAACAATATCACGATCCAATTGGGAGAATTGGTACAACAGAGCATCTTGGAATAGAATGTTTGCCCAATAGACTATTTGCAATCGAGCTCCTTACTATACACTGAAGCTCAATTTGGGGAGATTGATAGCACTGAGGGTGGAACCATACACCAAGCAGGCTATTTCATTTCATGATATAAACATGTGAATGATCACCATCCTGGATTGGAGAGACTCTCTGCTCCTTAATTAACCAGTAATATTTTAAACTTGTTTGGCCTCTGACTAAGGTGCGTCTGCTCACCGAAACTCATGTCAGGCATTTACTTTGTTTTTCTTTTACACCATACACCTTTCACTTGTATTCACTATGGTTATTCACTGAAGTGTATTTAATACAAATAGTTTTTGGTATCCTATCTTTCTGGTAAGTGGGCGGCGATTTTGAGTTAGATTAGCTTTTGTAGGCTCCTAGGCATGCTTTCATGCAGCTGAGCTACTTTTTATGTATATATACTCCTCCTTTCTAACCTATTCATCCATTTAATTTTTCATGACTGGAATTTATGTTCACTTTGGTGAATTGTGAATTAGATTAGAGATTATTGGCTGCTGGGGGTGATCACCCACAAATAAGGTATTTAACATCTATATATTCATCTGCATACCGTTCTATATTCATTGATCCTGAGGCTAACAGTAATTTAAAGTGATATGTGCTTAGATGTGTGTGTTTTTATATAAGAATGCACTGTTGGTATAGGAGTTAGATATTTCATCTTGTTTTATTTAATTTTAATATGTTATCATGCATCTCTTCCTCGCATCTACTGCTATATGTATCTCCTACTCATGATTGCATGTAGTGGGGTAATTCTGGAATATGTTTATATGACAGTTTCACAATGCTTAGGATTTATTAGGTACTTTGACTGATACATTCTTTTAATACATTAGTACTCTGTGTATTTGTGGGAGATAACACTGTGGGCACTGTAAAATAATAAAGCTTTAACGAGGTGGAGGGGATGAAATTGAGACCCCTCACAAAAGTGTTATCTGCATGTCCTTTTTTAGATCTACACAGCCTGAGTATACTGAGATAGAATAATTGAATTACATTGTATATATTTATCATATAGCAATTATATCACATATTCTGTAAAATTGTTTCCACTTGATCCCCTTAATACACAACGTTCAAATATGTTTGTATGTGTATACTGCTTACTGTATTACACAGAATCACAACTGTGTTGACTGTACATTGTGCTTGATGTGAGCAACATTTGCACAGAACTCTGCACTGATAACTGTCATCTGTAGTCCCTTCAACCACGCTACAGGATCATATATTTTATCAGGTTGAGAAAGTAGAGGATAGTGGGTAGGCGCTTCACAAAAATGGAAGTATAATGGATATAACAAAGTGGTTGATACAACAGTGTTTCCCAGACACTAGATAAGAGTAAATATAAACAAAGATATATATCAAAACCACATAAAAAAGAATAAGCCCAAAAACGAGTTAAGTGGTAGAAAATAACCATAAAATACAACCTGAACGTTGAAGAATGGCAGAGTATTATCTACAAAATATAAATACATAACATAACATAGTGTATACTGTATATTACAAATGTATATAAAATAGAAGGTGGACAACCACTCACATTTACCAGAGCCGTACCAGGCTCTGTGTAGCAGGCTCAAAGGTGCCAATTCAGGCTGACAGGATTCCAGATAATAAATGGAGAAATTCCATAGTAAAAAAGATATATATTTATTAAAAAATAATAAGCAAACTCCTGGTTATAGGGGAGTGGAACCCAATAACAGATAATATAAAAAAAGGTATCCACTTACCCCAATTGAAAAAACCAATGGAGTAATATAAGAAGATAAAAAATTACAATACAAATGATAAATAGCAGCAGTAAATAGCAGCAAACGCGTTTCGGCACTGGAAGAAGGCTACCAAGCCGAAATGCTGCTTATTATCTGGAATCCTGTCAGCCTGAATTGGCACCTTTGAGCCTGCTACACAGAGCCTGGTACGGCTCTGGTAAATGTGAGTGGTTGTCCACCTTCTATTTTATATACATTTGTAATATACAGTATACACTATGTTATGTTATTTATTTATATTTTGTAGATAATACTCTGCCATTCTTCAACGTTCAGGTTGTATTTTATGGTTATTTTCTACCACTTCACTCGTTTTTGGGCTTATTCTTTTTTATGTGGTTTTGATATATATCTTTGTTTATATTTAATTTTATCAGGTTGACCAGAAACATTAACGTTGATCTTTTATCAACCAGTTTAATTTAACATTTAGTAGGAAAAATGATCACATTGTTGAAAATGCATGGATAGCCAGAATCCATTAACCCTGTTAATATTTAAATTTTTCATAGGATAATGTGTCAAAAATAGAAAATGCATTACAGCATGTATATCCTATTTAAGCCTGATTTTATTCTTTACAAATGTCTGTATATAATTACAGACATTGTATGCTCCATTACACTCCATTGCATTGTAGATCTCATACTAAAGAAATATGCTGAAATATAAAAAAAATATTATAAAACAAAGCAATTGCAGTTTCACTCTACAATTTGTTTATGGGCCATATTAACCTACATTCTGTAATTACAATTTAAACTCTGTCACTAATCCCAGGAGTTTTTCTTTAAACATTTACAAAACAAACACACATGATTGTTAAATTAGACAAAATGTAAATAAAATGTAGGTGTTAAAGGGAAACTCCAGTGCCAGGAAACAAATCTGTTTTCCTGGCACTGCAGGTCTCCTCTCCCTCCCACCCCCAATCCCCGGTTGCTGAAGGGGTAAACCCCCCTTCAGTATCTTGTCCCACGTCGCTGCTTCCTCCTCCGCCGCCGCTCATCCTCTGCATTTCGTCGGCCGGTGGGCGAGACTAATCCTGCCCACTGGGAGTGACGCATAGCGCGAGGATGTCCAGCGATGCTCTAGCACAGGTTTCCTGTGCTAGAAACCATGAAGTGCTCTCTAGTGGCTGTCTAGTAGACAGCTACTAGAGGTGGAGTTAACCCTGCAAGGTTATTATTGCAGTTTATTAAAAAAATTGCAATAATTACAGTTGCAGGGTTAAGAGTAGTGGGAGTTGGCACCCAGACCACTCCAATGGGCAGAAGTGGTCTGGGTGCCCCGAGTGTTCCTTTAAGTTAAAACAATAGTAAACTACATTCTTCAACTGGATTATGACAACCTAATCAGCTAATGGGATGTTACTTGAGTTAGTAAGTTTTAAAAGCATGCACAAGGAGATTTAGCATCAATGTGTATTCAGAGACACTAATTAACAAAGATAAATTGCTGCCTTGATCTAATATTAGTAAGTTAAATTTGACATTAAATAGCATAATCAATAGACCCAATGGTAGGGTAAGGGTTAAGTTGGGGTTAGGAGTAGGGTTATGGTATAGTTAGGAGTACGGGTAGGATTAGGGGTAGGGTTAGGATTAGGGTTACCCTACCCCTAAACCTACTCCAACCACTAACCCTACCCCCATCCCTAACCCCAATCCTCTCCTGTTTTGCCACTTTTCAGAAATCCGAAGCACTTTGGAAATTCTGCACTACGGCAATTCGGTTAGGTTCGGTTTGGCATTCCGAAATTTGGCACTTCGGAGATTCAGAAGCATCCGAATGTCCAAATTTCCAAAATTCATCCAAATTTGCATTCGGAATGAAACAAATTTCACATGTATAACTAAAACTGCTTTTTTAATCTAATGTTCCCTTTGTATATGTCTCTGCCTCATTTCCATGATATCAGTTTGTAAAGCACAGATTGGAATATTTAGACATGCTATTCCTCACATTTGAACTGTTAAAACATAAAAATCCCTCTCTCGGTGGGGTGGGGCCTGACTATCATGGCGACTGGATGGGTTTTTAGAGAGCTCCTCCAGAAAATCAGAAAAAAAGCCAATTTACTTGCTGTTCCAGCTATATTCTCACACTCTGCAACATACCTTCTGTTATAAGAACCGACTGACCGGTCTGGGTGTGCTACCTGCGGTCTCCTGTGTCCATCCAGACGCCAGTTGCATGTGTGGTCTACTGTGTGCTGAGGGAGGGAGAGACGGCAGATCTCCTGGCCCGGCACAAGTTGGGATACGAAAATGGAACTGACACCCCGCTACCCCACCTTTGGACCTGCAGGGGAGGTCCCGGTCCCCACCCCAGAGACTCCCATACCCCAGCAAGGATTTGTGGAGGTACCCCAGAAGTCAGCGATACTGCCAGAGGTGCATCTAAAATGGTGGGCACCATGAGCACCCTGGATTCCTGCAATGAGACACCTACTATTATGCACCGTCTGAAAGCACTATTTGAAGCTTTCTGGCAGAAGCTGAGGTGTAGGCTACACCTACCTGATATGGAGGCTGTGGAGGCTTTACCTGGCCCATCCAGAACTGCTCCATACATCCCGACTACCTGCGGAAGAGGCCGCATAAGCGCCGCATCGTGAAACCTGCAATATGTCGCCAAGCCCCAATGCCACAAAACAGAAGCTCAAGCATATGGGTCAGGCTAGATGAAGGGATGGGAGGAAAGCAGCTGCAGACACAGAACCCACAGCTGATACCCTTGGCTCTGGGAAGACAGGCACAATTAAAGTGGGACTGTAAATTCCCTATCATGAGAATAGGCTGACTGCCATGTTGAGCATCTGGTTGCCTGATATACCCCAGTATACTGATTCCTACATGCTCATTATAGTTTTCTACTTAATATACACTATTCCTGATTTTCTTTGTCTACAATCTATGCTCTCCTGCTGAAAATGAAATATATCTCTAGAGCAGTCTGCGGTGGTAAAATCTGCTTATATATCTTTTGCCTACTATGTCTTTCTACAATACCCGTCTTCATATAGTTAGCACTTACATCTAGATGTGGATTCTTAGCATGTTTCCTATATAATATAAAAATGTGCAGAATTTTCAAAGCCATGTACCAGTTTAATATCTATATTTATGTACCTGTGGATGCTTTTGTGGCATTACAAAGCTGTCTGTATTTACACTCATACACAACAAAATAAAGAATTTAAAAAAAAATCCCTCTCTATATTTTTTTTAATATGGATTTAAATAACTCTCCAACAAAAGCTTTTTCAGTAAAAGAAGTAAATGTTATATGTATGAATTCCATTAACTGTTCTATGATGCCACCAATCCATGACCTTTGCAAGGCATCTTTCTCCTTAATTACTTTCCCTAGTGAAAGCACATTTGCATAGAAATATAACAAGCATCGGAAATTCAACTAATTAATAGGCAATTTAATCTGTTTGAATTTAAGACAAATTTTCCTATTGTTGCCAAATACATAATCCAATTATTTCTGTTGTTATACATAAGATAAAGCAGATAGTAGAACAATTACATTACAATTAATTTATATTTTATATCTATCACCAATTTATTTTACAACATGCCTATGTTTTTTCAGATAGAAATGTATCCCTCTACTTAAATTGTGGCATACCGTGTATATGAAATACTAATTTTGTAATAGTTGTAAATTCATACACGTATAGTTTCAGTACAGTTCAGTACTGGCTATGTCAATAGAATGGTGTGTAATGGAATTGTTAGGGTAATTACAATTATTATTATTAATATTTATCAAGAGCCAACAAAAACACTGTACAATGGAATTGCCTCTCAAAAAACAAAGCCAGGATTCTTGTGATGCTCAGTGAGTTGCAATTTTTCTTCCTTGAAATTGACTGGCGTAAGCCTTGTCCTGTGATATTTTTATGCCCTTGATATTGATGTATACATGGGACATTACGCATCAGTAGATAACTGAGCAATATATATATATATATATATATATATATATATATATATATATATTATTTTTTTTGCAGTTGCATCTTGGATTTGTACTTTATTTGCTGCTACGTTTGTTTGGAAGTCCACAATCATTTGAGAGATGTGTGGAAGATTGTTACTTTTCTTACTAACTAATTTAATAGATTATAAACTCTTGGCCAAACAAACAAAAAACAGACACAAGTATGTGTACAGGGCTGGTGCAAGGATTTTTGGGTACACAGGCGAAGATGATTTTGGCGCCCCTCCAAAAAAAAGCATCTTCACCTGTATGACTCATAACCCACCTTTTGTTTCTTATCCCCTTTTTTAAATGTCTTACTGTGGCCGGGCAGAGCAGACAGCGTGGCCGGGCAGAGCAGACCGCGGTACAGGTGCTTCAGTTTCCTATATACCGCTAGACTGACAGGAAGTGCTCTCTCAGTGAGCACTTCCTCTCAGTCAGGCCGGGTACAGGAAAGGTAGGAGGCATACCGGGGAGGGGAGAGGACCACTAAGGGGGGAAGGGAGGGGAGCGGATCAAGGGGGGCAGAGAGAGGGGCACTAAGGGACATGGGTGTGGAGGAAGGAACACTAAGGGACATGGAGGGGAGAGGAACACTAGTGGACAGGAAGGGGATTAGAGGGACGGGGAAAGGACCACTAATGGACATGGAGGGGAGGGGAGGGGTGTGGAACGCTGTGCGCCCACCTCCTGCCAGTCACTCTAATCTAGCACCCCTTATGGATGAGCCGACCCTGGGTGTGTACTCACTCATACAAAAATACTCTTACACACATGATTTTTTGTACAAAACAAGCTTACATATATAACTTGATACACATATCTAATAAGCATCATACCTGTGCACTTACATACATGAGCAACTAAATCACTTAAACATGCATGCATAACTATCTACAAACATACATAATTAGCCACTTACACACATACACTACTCAATCGAGGTGGAGGTATTAATCCACTGAGAAACCATAAAATTAAGTTACAATGATTTAGGGGACAGAATATGTATTATCAATGTTACTAAAACTGTTGAGGTAATCCAGGATGAGACTATCAATGGTACCACGAGGATGCAGCCATACCAAAATCGGTGTGGGTTCTACACAAGTCAGCTACCATCTAAGTGAGACATTTAGGATGACTTGGAAAATCTATGAATGCCTTCCTTTAATTTCTATGTACATTAACAAGTCTGTAATAGTAATTATGTAACAACGTTAAAGATACAGATTTATTTTAATTAAAGTTTATACTGATAATACATGAATAATTATTATATACATTTGAATTGTGGTGAATGAGTCAGACAAGCATTGAAAGGATTCAGCTATATCAACTGTATTATGAGCTATTAAAACTTCCTAGATTTTGATAATGAATGTCTTCTATTGGAATGCATGACCTTTTTTTTTAAAACCGTACAGAGACTCTACTTTTCATGTTTTACTTGAATGAATGAACAAGAAATGACCCAGTATTGCACTGAAGCATTCTTAATTCAGTTTATCAGCAACATCAGATTTGTGCTCTACTTTTTTCTGGTTTTTAGCATGCATTATCTCAAAGCAATGATCTAACCTTTTTCCAAAACATGTATTATTTAAATTAATGTCATACAGATATAGTTGACTTGCAGCTCTGTAATATGTTTTGATCATTTACATTCTATTTAAATTCTGTAGGAAGAGGGGTTTTTCAGTTTTTTTTTAGTTTTTTTTTTACTATGAATATTTTGATAGCAGTTTGTGTTGCAATTGTATAATATGTCTCAGAAATATATTTTTTGCATCCACTTTATTTTCTCCAGGTCACTGGTACACATTTTTCCCCTGAACCAAACATCCGGGGGGCAGAGGTAATATCAGAGCAGCTTTAAATGATATAATGCAACCAAAAAGAAATTACATGGTCACATTCAAAAACATCATAGCCAAGCCACTAACATACATTTATCATCCACAACTTAAAACCACTAACAAGTGAAGTGAACAGCATTGATTAAATTGTTACAATGGCACCTGTGAAGGAATAGGATATATTAGACCGCAAGTGAACAGTCAGTTGTTGAATTACATGTGTTCGAAGCAGGCGGAAAAATGGGCAAGCAAAAAGATCTGAGTGACTTTGGCAAGGGCCAAATAGTCATGGCCAGATGACTGGGCCAGAGCATCTCCAAAATGGCAAGTATTGTGGGGCATTTCCAGTATGCAATTGTTAGTACCTACCAAAAATGGTGCAAGGAAGGGCAACTGGTGAACTGGTGGCATGGTCATGGGTGCACAAGGCTCATTGAAGCATGTTGGAAAAAGTTAATGCTAGACATGATAAACAAATGTCAGAACACACAGGGTATCACAGTTTGCTGTGTATGGGGCTACGAAAATGCAGAACATTCAAAGTGCCTATGATGACCCCTGTCCACAGCCAAAATTGCCTTCAATGGGGACATGAGCATCAGAACTGGACCATGGAGTAATATAAGAAGGTTTCCTAGTCTGATTAATCACTTTTTCTTTTACATCAGGTGGATGGCCCGGAGTATTTGCATTGTTTACCTGGAGAAGAGATGGCAGCAGGGTGCACTATGGAAAGAAGGCAGTCCGGCAGAGACAGGGTTATGGTTTGGGCATTTTTCTACTGAGAAACCTTAGGTCCTGGCATTTATGCGGATGTTACTTTAAAACATACCACCTGCCTAAAAATTGTTGCATCCCACGTACACACCTTCATGGCAATGGCATTCCCTGATGGCAGGATAATGCACCCTGCCACATTGCAAAATTGTTCATGAATGGTTTGAGGAACATGGCAAAGAGATCAAAATGTTGCCTTGACCTCCAAATTCCCCAGATCTCAAATCCGATCCATGGAGTCCCCACCTCACAGAGCTTAAATGATCTTCTGCTAATGTCTTGGGGTGAGATACCACAGAATACATTCAGAGGTCCATGCCTCTTGGAATCAGAACTGTTTTGGCAGCACGAGGGGGAGATGGCTTTAATGTTATGGCTGTTCAGTGAATACAGTCAATGGAATACAGCACCAGATCTAAACTGCTATCAAATACCAGTACTTTAGAAACATAATCAACTATAGAAAGATGGTAATATTTGTACCACCTATTGAAATAGACTTTCCAATATTAAAATGCTTTAATATAACGATAATAACTGCTATAATAACTTTAAAAGGTTTTCTGTACATAGAGTGATTTTACAATCTGTGTACATACGAAGAATGGAGTTCAATAGTTCATAGATGTTTTCAGGTGGATCCACCACTAAGTAGTTTTGTATGAGTGAAAAGAACTTTAAAAAACAGTAAAAAACAAGAGAAAAAATATAGGGAGAAAAATAATATATATAAGAAAAAATATATGGCTATATACCAAAATAAACAGTCCAATTGCATGTAATGAGAAAATGAAATAATGATGTGAATCAGAAAAATAAAAAAATAAAAAGAAAAAATATAAAAATAAAAAAATAATGATGATCAAACAAAAATTAAGGCAAAAAAAGAGAAAAAGTTGGTTTGGTCTCACCAATTGAAGTGAACACTGTCAAACTTCCAAGTAATGACAATAGTAGTGGGTGATCCAAAAAAATATTGTAGCAAAGTCCCTTAATCCATCACCGGAAGAACGATATCTGAACTCCTTCCTTTTTGTACACATGTCAAGTTGTTTCTGTACTCGTCCTGTTTATGTCATGGTGGTCAGGCGTCCTGCTCGATCGTAAACTGTTGTAAATAATTGTATATATATTGGGATGTATATACGATGAAATTGTTTAAATTGATGAATTTATAAGGACATCACTTCTCATTACTCACTCATAAATTTACATATAGTTTCTGTATAATAAATTAATTTTCTTGGCATATATATTAATTATTTCTTATCTCTTTTTGAGTGCAGTATTGTATTTATGGATACAATTTGTGCATTTTTTGAGGTTGTTATGGGAAACACCTCCAATACCAGCACCATTTAGTAGCAGAGTGCCAACACACATTGAAGTTTTTTTGTATATAGAGTGATTTTATACTGCGTACATATAACTCTACTTTTTTTTTGTAGTGTTGCAAGTTGTTTAACAGGCTGAATCTTTACATAGCAATTGGGGGATGGGGGGTAGGGGAGAGGGTAGAGGGGAAGAGGGGAACTAGAATGTAAACAGCTTTGATCAGTTGGGAAAATGTATATAGTTTTATAAAATATCGGCACAGTATGATATTTGTGAAGCCAAATACATTGCTGTGAGTTATGTTCCACAAAATATTATCTTTTAACATTCCCTCTGTAGGTTTAAAAATAATTGACACACAGCTACAAGAATCCTTTAATGAAACAACAGCTGTGGATTCTCTGATATGTAACAATAGTATCTATAGAGTTTAACGTGTCTTTGTATTCTGACCTATTTTTTAAATAAGTGTATATCATGCATCATATCAAGAGTGTAATAAAAGGAAACCAAAACTTCAGAAAAAATATGCTGTAATAGCAGGGATATCATGTATTAAATACATCTTTTATATCAACACCATTAAGCTTTTAAAATGCCTTACATGGAGGTATTGCTGTTTGCAAAGTATAGAGAATAGAAGGTCAGAAAATAGAGACTGATAGTAGTAATAACCATAATGTAATCAGAGGCAGCAACCCTGGGACTGGACAAGGGTCATAACCGTTCACATTTGATTTACCTCTCTTTCGACTTGCTTTTTTGCCCCCCGTGTTATGTACTAGTGGTGGCATATAATACAATCAGAAGGCTGGCCCAGTGAGTCTCATACTGCTGTGATCACTAGGCCTTAGTTAGTGCAGGTTTCCCAACAGTCCTTCTTTTAGTGGGAAAGTCTCAGCACTATGACTATGTAGCACTTCAGCAACACTCTTTTCTTGGTTCTGCATGTAGGCGGTTGGCTGGGAGGCTGTCTTTCAGACCCCTAAGTGGGAGAACATGCCCACTTCTCAGACAGGCCCATCCACAGTGATTGAGTAACCTTGGTTCCATAATAACGAGTAAGATCTGTGACAATTTTCACTTGAGTTTGCCATGTTTATCTAGAGCTTGGTTGTAAAATAAGCAAAAGAACCAGAGTCATGGTTTTTTTCCAAGGTTCCAATGGGTCCACCCACTCCTGGAGCAAGACATTGAAGAAAGACTGCCCTCTACATAACCCTTTCTTCTGCTACCTAGCAAAAGAGCCAATCTATGTAACATGTCCAGCTCCCTTCAATCAACTTTTGTGTGTGGTGGTCATGTGTCACCATTATTATGGAAGGAGCGATGTCTGTTGGCAAGAGAACATTCTTATTAAGATTTTTGAAAGAATAATAGATCTTGTTAATGGATTAATTAATTATTTACTTACATTTATTGATTTAAAAATATATTAGGCTACTAGATACTGTGTGATTAGCTAAAGAAAGGAAAAGTTGCAAATATGTATTTATTATACTTATTAATTACAACTAAATATATAGGTGGTGTTAATCTCACTGTTTGATGGGAATAATGGCAATACAATGTTTTATGCCAGGACAGATTAACTCTTGGCTATAATATTTTGGCACTTTAATATGCTGTGCTGTACCTTCAATAAAGGACACAGTGCCTGTACAATACTTTGTAAATAAATTTTGTCACATTAGATATAGTTATATTTCTAATTCAAGTTTTGTCTCATGAAAGATTAACAATTCTTGAATGAAACATAGATTCACTTCTAGATGAAATAACCTGATTAATTAATATTATATTATTTCTTATTCAAGTATTTATCAAGGAAATATTTTAAATGTATTATGAGGGATGCCAGGTGACCTAATTCATTACTAAAATAATATATTGGTATTGGAAAATTGGTATATGATATTTTACATGGACGAATATAAAAAGTTATAAAAAACTATAGTTGTTTATCTTAAGAGATAATTAATTTAGATTCATTTTCTGCAGCTGTGCCACGCATGATTATTTTAGTGCAGAATTGTTTTCATTATTTTGTTGACCTGTGGTTGTCCTAAATTGTGCAGCTTGGACTACAATAACTCACAATAGCCATGACGCACTGTGTATAAATTGAAAGCACATGTCATAGGCACATGTGACAATTAAACACAGTGAACACTCTCTGCTGCAGATGATCAATATGTATAGGTGCTGCTTCAACCTATTCTAATGAGGAAAGTATCAAAAATAACAATATAGAGCAGTGATTCCCAAACATTTTAGATTTAAGGCGCCCTTAATATTTCAATATTTTTCCAAGGCACCCCAAGTCAAAATTTCTAGGTTGTATATCTGTACAGCGCTGCATCATTTACTGGTGCTATAGTGTAATGTACAGTGTTGGTGTTTGAAGGGGTGCTTGTATACATTTATTGTGTTTTAATACAGGGGTGTGTTTGAATGTAATGTTCACTTTTAAATGTAGATGTACTTTTGTGTAAAGTATTTGTGTTTGAGTAAAGGGGTGTGTTTGTATATATATATTTTTTAGTTTGAATGCAGGGGTGTGTCTGTATGTAATGTTTGCGTTTGAATGCGGGGTGTGTCTGAATGTAATGTTCATTTTTAAATGTGGATGTACATTTGTGTGAAGTATTTGTGTTTGAGTGAAGAAGTGTGTTTGTATATGTATTTTTTTTAGTTTAAATGCAGGGGTGTGTTTGTATGTAATATTTGTGTTAGATTGCAAGAGTGTGCTTGCATGTTGTGCTGGTGTTTGACTGATTGGATGTATGCACATACATACATACATACATACTTACACAGATATTCATGCACATTAACACACAGATGCATATAAATACACCGACACATACACATAAATTCATACAGACACTGAGACACACATATAGATACACACCAACACATAAACATCGACATACACACATGCACCCTGGCACACACAAACATTGATACATGCCCACACCATGACACAGATACACACACCCTGACACACAGAGGAACATACACAGATGTGTGTGCACACACAGACACAGAAGCACCATGATATTTATATACACACAGAGATGCACACCCTGACACACACACTCACAAACACCTGACACACACTCATGCACACACTCACACATTACAGGGGCCCGGTCGCGGTCTTAAAGGACTGTGGCACTCGATCGGGTCCCTGGTGCTATAATCAGAGCATCGGAGAAACATTCCACGGCACCCCCACGGCACACAGTTTGGAAACCATTGGTATAGAGAATAAGTCTGGCCTGTGTTTCCTGAAGATCAAATGGTTTATAAACGTTTACAGCCCAGAAATGATTAGGAGTTGCTGTAAGTAATAAGGTAGTATAGGGGTGTATTGTTAAGTTTGGGGTAGTATAGGGGATTGAAGAGGAACTGTCAATCACGCATACACAACTCTTTCAAGGATCTTGGAAGCAAAAGGCAGTAGCGAGATAGGACAGTAGTTGGACGGGTAGTTAGGGTCAAGGTTGGGCTTCTTTAGAATTGGGGCTATAGTTGCATGTTTTAAGGGCAATGGAAATATGCCAGAGGAGAGAGAAAAATTGAGAATTTTACTGAGAAGTAGAGAAAGAGAAGAAGACAGAGTACGGACGAGATGTGAGGGAATTGGATATAGGGAGCAGGTGGTGGGGCGGGAGGACTGGAGCAGAGCAGAAACCTCTTCCGCTGTAGTGGGTGTGAATGAACATAAAACAGCAGAGGGAGTGAGGTTAGGGGAAGTATTGTAAAGGGAAGAAGAAAGATGAGAGATCTCTTCCTTGATTGTAGAGATCTTGTCAGTGAAGTGAGTTGCAAAGTCTGAAGCGGTCAAGTTAGTAGGTGGAGGAGGAACAATAGGGCAAAGAAGAGAGTTAAATGTGTGAAATAGTCATTTGGGTTCACGGGACAGTGTGGTTATGAGGGTATTGAAGTACTTTACTTTTGCAGAGGAAAGAGCCAAGCTGTATGAGCGCAACATAAATTTATAGTGGAGAAAGTCAGACACACAGTGAGACTTTCTCCAACAGCGTTCAGCAGTTCTGGAGCATTTTTGGAGGTATCGAGTGAGCTTGGTGTGCCAGGGTTGTTGTTGGGGGCGCTCGCTGCGTTTAAATGTAGGAGGTTCCATGATGTGTAGTTGAGAGGAGAGGGTGGAATTGTAGAAGGAAGTTGCAGAGCAAGGACAGGTGAGATTGGAGATAGGTAAAAGGAGAGTTTGGAGAGTAGTGGAGAAGACATTGGAGGTTTCTGTGGGATTGATGTTCAGACAGTGGTGTCAATTGGGTCTTAGGTATGCCGATATATGTCCTTGCTTTGCTAGAGATTAGGAACACCGAACTGCATGGAGGTGAAATAATTGCATGGATGACGTCACTATTCATTGCATACAGAAGCAGAAAACATGATCTGCTAACATAGCTTTTTCGGTAATTTTTTCCCCTAACATGCATTTTTGCATACATGTATCTTTTCACATTACATTTTATTGCATATTCTACCTAGGTGCTAGAGGAGGTTTCCAGATCATAGCCCTAGCTCTGAGTTGACTGCAGCTTTATTCCAGGTCCAGTCTGCCTGTGGTATATGTGAGAAACTGTGTACCGGGTCCAGCAGTAAGATTTAGGGATGCTGCAAAGTCAATGTGTTACGTCACACTGAAATACGGGATTTTATACATTCTCTGCCGTGACTCTGTTAATTGTTTGGCTGAATTCTGAATTGGTCCCTTCTGTACAAACCAATAAACAGCAGAGTAAAAATATTTATATAGACATAAAATGCATTGGGAATTAGTTCTCTAAGCTATGAACTGTGGTAAATAAATTTTTTGGTTTGAAATAGCTAAGCTGGAGGTATATTCTTTGGCTATGGGTCAAATACTGGATGTTGGCAAACAAACGTATAAAGGAAACAATGAATAAGAATATTCCAAGCAACGAGTCTCACTGAAAAGAAAATTTACACGAAAAAAGAAATACATTTCGGGAACACACCTTACTATAAGATGCAATAAAAATATAATTTTGTTATACAAACTCAAAGTATGAGTGCGTGTTTTTTGTTCTGCAGCACTAAATTGTATAACTTATTTAACAAACACATTTTGCTTGGTATAGTGTGCACTGCGGCCTATTCCTTAACTGGCAGCAGACATGATGTAATTTATTAATGAATCAGTCTGCCGTCTCTGCATTTTGTAAAATGTGCTGCAACATGATAGGGATTCAATACTACTCAACAACACATTTATTATCTCTTATACTCGGTGGCATAATATATATATATATATATATATATATATATACACACACACACATATATATATATATATATCAGAATGTACACTGAACAAAATTATAATCGCAACACTTTTGTTTTTGTCCCTATTTTTCATGAGCAGAACTCAAAGATCTAAGACTTTTTCTATGTACAGAAAAGGCCTATTTCTCTCAAATATTCTTCATAAATCTATCTAAATCTATGTTAGTGAGCACTTCTCCTTTGCCGAGATAATCCATCCACCTCACAGGTGTGGCATATCAAGATGCTGATTAGACAGCATGATTATTGCAAAGGTGTGCCTTAGGCTGGCCACAATAAAAGGCCACTCTAAATATCAAAATACACGTACAATGATATTGATTAAATATATAATTTTCATTACATATATATTTATATATAATAATAAATAAATAAATATATAAATACGTTAAAAGATAAAATAAAAAATAAAAAATAAATAGATAAAATATATACATGCGTAATTTCATTCTAACTGTATTTTAAAATGAATATATATATATTGATATCAAAATACATGTAGAACGAAATAATATATATAGCTATATACATAAGTATATACGTATATATCACTATATATACCTATATATAAATAAAAAAAAAATATACATATATATATATATATATATATATATATACACACATATATATATATAATAATTCTACGTATATATTTATGTAATCATTTTACATAATTAGGTCATTTTATTAATTACAATTTGCAGGACCTGCCTGACAACCCAGGCCGAAAGTCCAGGGAATTTAATTTTCTAGCACTATATTTAACCCTGTAACTTTCCAAGACACCATAAAACCTGTACATGGGGGGTACTGTTTTACTTGGAAGACTTCGCTGAACACAAACATTTTTCACACACATTGGGTATGTTCAGTCTTTTTTAGTAGCCAAACACTGGCCAAAATTTGCGTTTAAATTAGTTTTTTGCATTTTCTAATATTAACACTAACTTTGGCCAGTGTTTGTGACCAAGTGGCTACTAAAAAAGACTTGACATACTCCATTTGCAATACCTTGTTCCTGCGCTACCATATGGTCTCAAAGGCAACGTAACCAATCTGGCTAATTTCAATGTGAAAAAACTGAAATATGTAACACGCTATATTTGACCCTGTAACTTCCCAAAACACCATAAAACCTGTACATAGGGGGTACTGTTTTACACGTGAGACTTTGCTGAATACAAATATGTGTATGTTACTGCAGTAAAAGCAAACAGTATTTTGACATTCACAGTTAAAATGTCACGTAGAACTAACAAATGTAAAAAAATTATTGTTTTCTCCCATTTTTTTATATTTTTTTCATATTAAATTATGTTCCATAACTAAATATTTGATGTGAAACGAAAGCCCTGTTTCCCCTGAATAAAATGATATATAATAAGTGTGGGTGCATTTAATATGAAAGAGGTGAATTACGGTTGGACAGACATACAGCGCAAATGCCAGGTTTTGTTTACGTTTTGTTTTGATCTTAACTTGTACATTTGGCTGCGGTCTTAAGGGGTTAAGCTCCTTTGCTAATTATGATAAAACATCCTCAAACAATAATTACATTAAATGAATGCACTCGGTACATCATTTTGGTTAGTTCTGCTCATCTGTTACATTTATACAAAATATTGTTGCCTGTATCCTAGAGAAGAGGCACGTTTTAAAAGTAACATTAGTCGCTGTTATTTATTTAACACAAGTTCAGGGGCATTGATTAAGGATGGGGGCTGACAGTGGGCTGAAGAGCACAGGGTTTAATTCTGTCCACATTTTATTGTTAGCCCAAAGAACCATGTATTAATAAGAGCGAAATAATCTCTCCAGTTACATAAATTGCAACAGTGTCCCTATAATGTTCCATATTTGAATTATATGATACAGCATAGTTTGGTGTTGCTATGAGTGAATGGTTTGATTGCAGTGGGGTAGAAAGGTTAGCTAACACAGCATGTTATTCATAGAAACTTTTTAGAATGGACTTAGGGTATGGCATGGGACTTGAGGGGTGTCAGTCAATATATGTGAAAGGGGTCATAACATTTACTCTGGCTTTTATGCCACCTAAACAAGACCCTGAACAAGTTAAAGGGACACTCCACTGAAAATAAAAATAATAACAACATTCATTGTTTAGTTGGTATATCCCCAATGAAACCTGCATACTTTTAATTATACACTTTTTTCCATTGGGGATATATATATATATAAAAAACTTGTCTGCAGCCTTTGGAATCCCTCCCATTCTATTTAGCACAGACTTTCGGTGGCTGTACAATTACAGACTTCCTAATGTAGCTCAATGAGAAATCTTTACAAGGCAGGGGCTCTTGACAATTGCCTACTTCCACTGAGCTAACCAAGCCAGGACATACCATGACCGGTTATATGATTGGCAGCCACTGTGATGTAACAAGGTTAATTTATAAAAAATGCTAAATTATTTTTAATTCTACACTTTTTATAAAATGAAAAACATCCTTCACTTATCCTTAATGTTAATTTGATCAGTGTTCATTTATTTCTTTATCACCATGACAACTACAGCTATTTACATTTCAGGTTCTCTACAAAAATATTTTCACATCTTGAGAGCAGATTTCTGCTTTTGCAAAGTGTTATTTTATTTGCACAATTGTGTATGTTCTACATACTTTTAAATACGACAGTGATTTGTGTTAATTTTTAATTAATTAATGAAGATTTTACTGTTTAAAAACAAATAGATAAAGATTTGTTTAAAAAAATAAATTGTGCTGTCATTGTTTTTCTGAATAAAGACTCAAAAAAATAATAATACCGAAAACAGTGAAGAAAAGAAAAAAATATTTTTTGTATTGCAAGAATTTTCATGAGTTAGTCTCAATGCCCCTTGTAATAATTTTCTAGTAACCAGAAGGAAATTAGGTCAGTTTATAGAATTACATCAGATATCTTTTCTCTCTATTCAACATTTTTTATAATTGCTTCAGCTTACGTTTTTTACAAAAATGTACTAGTATTTCATTAACAAAATTAGATCAACAGAAATTGAAAAATAGAGGTCTGCTGATTCACTTCATGTTGTGGGATAAGATTAAAAAAATCACCACATTGGGGGCCTGATGCCCCTCAAAATCTTGGGAGACCAGCTCAATGGTCTTAACCTATTCTAGCATATAGTATAGTTCACCTCTCTTCATAGCAGTGCAAGACAGTCCAACTGGCAGTAAGGTTCAATACACATTTTATTTTTTTTAAAGTCACTGCCTGCCTGTTTACTACTAAATATATATCCTCATAGGAAGTTGCCTTCCATATCCCTGCCCTGTGGTGATGACAAAAATATTTATATAATTTTATTTTTTTATTTACTGAATATGGAGATATAGGACTAGGGCACATGGGCATTTGACATTTATCAATAAAATCCAAAGATAAGAAAATGAAAGCGGCACTGTCACCTCTTTTTAGAAATTCTAAAACAATAAAAAAACATGCACTTACTAGTTCAATGTAAACATCAGATTATAGCAAATGGATCACAGAAACTGTATTGCGCTTCATGTTATACTATCCTATTTGATGTTGACTCATGAAAGCTGACTGAGAATATACGACTTCTCATGCAATTTGCACTATGTCTTTGCCCAGGCACAAAGTTCTTTGGAAAATCCCAAGGTCTTATAGGACCTTTCAAAGACCCCAATTTTTTACATTTGCAAAAGTGCAAGGATGGGGTGGTTCCTGTTGGATTCATCTGCTAGGAGTTGTACAGATAGCAATGATGGCGTCTAGGAGAGATAGATTCAAAACTGTATAGCTCCAATACTCAAGCAGACATGTCACCTGAGTGTTGTCACAAGTGACAGCAACACCTTACAGTGGTGGAAAAATGAGCAATGTCGGATATCAAAATGTAGTTGTATGGCTGTAAGGTTGCTCAAGCCAATCACAATGCTTTTCTTTACATTGTTTAAAACTCCTACTGTTTAAAACTGAGGCTATGTGATTCAGTCAGTCACATTAGCCAATTATCCTCTATCCTGTGACCTAGGGAATTTAAAACCTATAATGACTCTCTTGGCAATTATTTAAGATTGTCAGTACAACCTATAAACTGATAAAGCAGAAATGTTTTTTTTTTGTGTGTGTGTGTGTGTGTACTATGTAATTCCAACCTTGAAATCTTGCATACAAGACATGTCCAGAGCTACTCTGCTCATACAGAATAACGTTCCCCAACACATTCAGCATTCCTCAAATCTTTAAACTTAAAAAAACAAAAAACACCATAGTGTGTAACAGTAACCTATCTTTGTACAACAACCTACCCTGTATGTGGAGATATTACCATGCTTTCTTACTTTTGTTTAGATTCGCCTACATTTGGTTGTCATTACATGTATTATTTTTCTTACCCACCATACTGAGCTGGCACTGCATAAATATAATTTGCAATTAAAAAGAAGAATGTGAGTAATACGTTATTGAACCTCTTTACAATTAACATTCAACAATTGAGCAAAGCATAAAAAAAACTAAATAAAAAAACAAAAACAAGTGGGTCAAAGCCCTTTTGAAAATAACACAGCCCGTCTTAAGCTCATTTGAATTTTTTGTCTACAGTAAATGTTATGCTAAAATTTCAAAATCTCATCAATCCTCTTTTTGAGTTCATGTATGCATTCCTTCATTTGTGCTTTGTGTCTTAAAGGGACAGTACAGGCATTTAGATTTTTTTTTTATTCTCCAGGTTTCCTGGCATTAGTTATTTTGCCCCACTCTTCTGCCATAAAAATTCCAGGCATGCAATATAAGCATATTAGAAATTAATTTGGCTACAAAGTTGAAGATTTCAGAAAAAAGATTGATGCATGCAGGTTACCTTCTGCAAAGACACTCATTAGCTGCTTCTAATCCAGAGCCTGGGCTTAATTCAATTTTTCAATTTGGTGTGATGTAGCGATACATTATTAAGTTTCAATGTGCACTATTTGGATGAATGCAGTGTACACCAGCTTGTGGTGTTTAAATTTAATTATTGGGTTTAGGAGTGCAGGAAGATATAAATTCAAGATGTGTAATTTTTTCATATTATCTAGAGAAAATAGCCACACATGAATCTATGGCAACAGGCCAATCAAACTATAAAATATACTAAATAAAGCTTGTTCTCTTCAGAGGGTCACTTTACAGTTATAGAGCAAGTCTGCAAAGTACATGCACATAAAATGTAGATGAAGTAAGATAAGATTAACACTGTGTGGCGAAACCAACCTCGCCACTGTGAACTGGAGAAGCCTGGTTGCTCGCCTGCTCCCTTTGGACTATGGCCCTGCAGGTTAAACCGTTTATTTCCCCTGCAGAAAGGCTTATTTGTGTGATCTGAGTGCCATTCATCTAATAATGTGCACTCAGATCCCAACTATCTGGGGATATGTGAAATGTCTGTGTGTTATGTGTAAATGTGACTTTATGTATTTTAAAGTGTTTTGTGTCTTTTTGCAACCATGTGCTTAATGGAGTCTTGTGTCTATCCTGGGAGATAATTGAATTACTTATCTCCAGGATAGAAGACTCTGAAACTGGTTTGGGCCAGAAAGCCATGCTTCATTTAGTCACAAAGGACTTTTTACTAACTTTTGAACCCCTTGTCTGATTTGTGCCATTTTTGAATATGTTGTTCCCCTGAATGGATTGATTGTGAATATGTAATTTTATGTGAATGTGATGTATGGTTTTGGAGTTATGAAAGTTGGGTAGAAAGTATGTTTTAACTGTATGTATAATTGAGTTTCCTCTCAGGATAAGGGGAGGGAATATGTGGGATGTAACTGTATGTGATTGGTTGTTTTGTAACGCCCTGTGGGCTGTACTATGTTTGTGATTTGGGAATAAAAGAGACTGTATGTGACAGTACAGGGAGTTCCTGTTTTAACCCTCAAAGTGAAGTGTCGTCTCATTATTGGGGGAAGGATTTATTGTATGCTGTTCCAGTTGGACTGCTAGGAGAGTAAACCTATTCGTATGGTTCCTATTCAACTGTCTACAGCATTCATATGCTTGAGAGGATTCATATGCTTCTCCGGTTCGGTGGTTGTGGTGTCTGCTGCAGTGCTTGGAGTCCTCAGGAAGCGCTAGGAGCATCTTTCAACGGAGGTACCCAGTCGGGGTGCCAGGCGATCCGTTACACACTGTCTACTCAGTAATCAGCTTCTGGAGATAAAGGACAGTTCTCTGTGGACAAGCGGAGAAGCAGAACTGCTATGTGGAAAGTTCAGTATGTGGAGACACTTGCATACATGCTGAGTTTCATAAGGTATTCTTTGGCAAACTAAGAGGAATCAAAGCCCTAAGATGGAGGACAGCAAAACAATGCTGAAAACAACCAAGCAGAATAGAAGGAAATACTAAAATGTATCTCCAAAATTTACAATCGCACCTCCTTTGTACAATACAAGCCTTATTTTGATAGCATGGGCCTAGGCAGCTCAGGTGACTTTTTTTTATTTCTAAAGACATTAAAGACTAAGATTATGTTTTGATAACTTTGAGGCATTGACTCTCAACTTCAAAGACAAAAATAAAACAACAAACATATCTGTGGTACAAAACTTTTATGATGTCTACTTTGCTGTATGACAGGATGATCACATAAACACACAGAAAATAGGTATTATCCTAACAACTACAAAAAAACAAGTACTGCGCTCACTCCCAACACTCCTGGGCGGCAGCAACGACCACAGTACACATCAGCCCCAGATATCTTTGCCAGAGGCCCAAGGAAGCAGGGTGAAAGGTCAGTGTAGGACCTACCTAAGGGGGTATGCCTTGACGTTGGCAGGCGGGCATTCCCTACAATGGCCATTGGAGTAACTAAATGACCTCCATTTGTTTAAATATACATAGGGATTTAGGAGAGAGCTCAGGTAACTTTGGTTTTTACTGTATGATCCTAACAACACATGCTTCATTTATATGAGGTGGACTTTGTGTATGATCTGAATGGGCATGGTGTGGACAGATAACAGGCTTTTTAAATATTGAATAGAAGCAAAAAATCTACACTCTAGAAATTTAAAGTAAAACATGTTTATTGGGATATATAACCATAACACCTCTGCGTAATACATTGTTTAATAGCTACATCCTTGATTGATTACATTCTATGTTTTTAAAAACCACAGCTTTTACTTTGGAGGTGAAACATTTCAAATCCATTGAAATCCAGCTAAGAGCAAACTAGAAAATTTCAAAGCTGATTAACAATATGTTTAAATGTGCAAAATCAGCTGATAATCATGTACTGAATATGGAATTATTATTTTTTTCTTTGTTTTTTCCCCACTTTAATATCAACCTCTGCTACAATACATTATGTGCTTGTGATGGACAGGCATAACCACCAGAACATGCAAAAAGGGCATTATTGAAATATTAGGCAATTATATAACCTGCAAAGTCAAGCTTATATCTTCTACCCAAAGGCTGCCGTACAACACAAAATGGAAAAATATATATTTGTATTCATTGCACCTACTGAAGGAGAGAACAAACATAGAGCAACTGGAAATTCACTATTAAATCAAATCAGTATCAAATCAAACTACTAAACATATAAACTTGAACACACATCTATTAACTTTAATGTGAAATTTATTATTTTCCAAATCCAAATGTGATGTACTCAGCCTTTGATTGTGATTGTCCTTAGTGTGCTACAGAGAGGCAGCACGTTTGTTATACAAGCTACAATTTAGACTTGCAGTGTAGTTGATTTTACACATCATCCATTTTGATTATGTACATTATATCTATTATAAAAAAGACACCATGTCGCATTATTTATTTAAATGACACTAGCAAGTAATGTGTTGCTGAACAGTAGAACAGGCTTGGAAATACGTTGTTGTACAGCAAATATAGCATGATATATAGCATAGCACGTTCCTAGACATACACTGGTACAGGAGGAATGAAGCTCCCTCTTGTACAAGTTAGCAACCTTGTGAAAGGTTTGAGTGCTCAAGGTTTGGTGAGTTCAGGAGAGAAGAAGTATAGTTTGAGGGAGGATTCACTGGGAAGAATGGGTTGCTATGGTAATCTACAGGTCTGAAAGAAAGTCACTTTTAGGATCTATATAGGAAATTATTAGAAGAGAAACAACCAGTTTCTTTGAATATATAAGCATGAAATGTGGGAGACAGTCCAACATAGAAAAATGAGGGACTTCAGATGACAAGTATAACACAGGAAAACTCTTAGAGATACGAGTGGTAGAAAGAAAGAAAAGTCATGATCAAAACAAAGATGCCAGAGTATTCTGAGACGAGTCAATATTTAGGGTCTGTACAATGATAACTGTATCTCTGTATGTGGCCAAGGAGTCTAATTGTATTTTTGGGGTAATGGAGAGTAAAGATAAGGAACCTGCAAAGTAGGCATTGGTTGTACATGGTTTTAGGAATGGGTGGTTTAATGGGTGGATAGTGGAGGTGTTCCAAAAGTAAGTAACTGGGAGGTTGGGGGATGTGTGCAAAAAACAGTGGAGTTTCAATGGGCAATTACTAACATAGACTGTCTATGGACTAATGCTACTGTAAAAAGCAGAGGTAATAGTTACACGTTTCAATAGAAACATAAGCATAAATTCCACTGCAGATCCCTAGTGAAAGTGATCCAAACCACACTGCAATAACAGTCTTCTAAACTGTATTTGCAGTTTAAATGTCTAAATTATAAGTTGCTATTTATCTGATAAGCAAAAGGTTTTTTTGTGTTGTTTTTCTTAATAAAAACTTTAAAGAATTATAATTTGCAGGATATTATTTGCAATAAAGTATATATTAATATACAGTACAAAAGAGGATAAAGAGGACATACTTCAACCCAGAACATACTTGAAAACGAGAGAAATCTCAATGTATCCCTACTGGTAAAATGATTTATAAAGAAAATGATGACGCAAACTCACTCTACAGTTAGAGCTTGCAAACTAGGCAGCACTGAATAAAATTTAGAACATTACAAACTTCAAGCTATTTTTTTAAATTATATATTTAACCCCCTTAAGGACACATGACATATGTGACATGTCACGATTCCCTTTTATTCTAGAAGTTTGGTCCTTAAGGGGTTAAATGTCATATTTGGAATGAAATCTTTCAAATGAATGGGAGCTTTTAGAATAAAAGCACACTTGCAGTGACAAGGGTTAAGTGACTAAGCAGCCCTGTGACAACATGTAGTGGACTGCAGATCAGGAAGGAAATCCAATCCTCTTACTGCATTGAAAATGTGCATTTGTGAGGGGGTGGAACCAGTGACAGCAGATTGTTTATCTGTCTCAACAAATCACAATGACAGATGTAGTCTTTCTACAACACTGCTCAGCCCATTGTGCTGCCATTTGGCCTACATTTGTTCCTTAGTCAACACTTTAAAATGCAATACAAAGGACTGCTACTGTTACACAATGCTTCCACAACTGCTGCATTTAGAGACACTATAGCTATATCTTCCTGTTCCAACAATAAAAGCACAAACATCTGATTATGACTATGAACCAAGGTAAATATTAGCTTTATAAATATGTTTATTGATATGGTTTGTGCCACTGTAGTGTCTTCCTTACAATATCCCTAGTTCTCATTACAACACACTTTGAATAGCTGTCTGCTTTAGATCCTGGTAGATATAGGGAGGACTCACTCTGGTGTTCAAAAATGGTTAAAGTACATTCACAACATAAGCCTTTGTAAATAATTATGTAGGTGCCCTGTGTTAACATGGCATTTGTGGCAAAGTTATCCTTATTGTGTGTTGGTTTATGTTCTAATAAAATACTTGTTTTACATTTACTGCATTTTGGATTCTGTAGGGCTATTGATTGCAAAAAGATACATGTGGCTTTGCAGTTGTCTGCAACATCTATAAGAGCCAAAAGTACTCTATACCGTACATACATTTATTTTCTAGCTAATTTAAAGACTATATGCGTATGTATGTGTGTGCATATATATATATATATATATAAATTTATTTATTATAGGTGATATAAAAAAAAGTATTTCTCTCAATAGATAGATAGATAGATAGTCAAATAGATACAAATATATATATATATATATATATACACACATTTTTTTTAAATATCACCTATAATATCTCTGTATAGACATTCATGCAGTATGCAGCATACCTTACATGTCTTGCCAGATATAGGAAATATTGCACTGATTTGCACTGCATTCACTTCATATTCATAAACCTCAGGTCAAATGACCATAACAACCATTATATGTACATTTCCATTACACCCCAAAGCTTATGAGACATTGGGGATGGTGCATAACAAAACTAAATTCTTAGCACTGCCAATCTCTTACTGCAGAATGTCCCAATGCTTTGCTGTATCCCCAACTCTGTATAATTACAGTCTTGCATTTCCAGCTTACAATTCACCACTTATTATTTTTTATTTATATTATTATTACTATTATTATATGAACAGATAAGTGCTGGGTTATGTGATGAACATGTGAGTAGAGAATACAGAAGGAGCTGTCAGTTTGGTTCTCATTGCCTATAATCAGCTATGCAGCTTTGCAGCACTTCGACCTTGTAAAACTGCTTCTTCTATCTGCACACCCCAGCACCCTACCCCCACCAACACATGCACACACCTCTATCACACCATACCCAGCAGTATTCATTCTGCAGCTTTCACCGTATTAATAGAACCTCTATTGCATTCTATGCATTTAACCCTTTAGCTGTAGAACTGCACCTCACAAATGTTAAACCCCTGTTACACCTTCCCCTCCAATAGCAAATTGTAGCAACATTTTAACTGGGTAGGTGTTCAGTGAAATCTCCTGGGTTAAAATCACAAGAATGACCTGGTGTCCATAACATTATAATGCAAAGCTATTTCTACATTTGTATGCTCTCTGCAATAACTGACCTATTCAGATACCGTTTGGCTTGCTTTATAATTAGCAGCTCAAAAAATAATTATGCAAGAGGCCTCCATGGTAGCATCACAAATAGATACATTAGAGGGGTTTTTAAATCGCTCTGCTGCAGGTGATCACAGGGTTTCTCCTATACTCAGGATCAGCTGTTTCCCTGAATCTTTCGCTAATGGTAACACGTCCATACACCGCTGTCTTCTTACCTTCTCCTGAGCCCTACTCAGCTTTTTCTGGACATTTTTAGCAAATACGCCTGTTTTCATATCAGCCATGGCTGCTGGTCCAGGGAGCCAAGTAATAGAGGAATCAGATGGAGCAAGGAGGCTGGGGGAGAATGAGAAGGGAGGGGAGGGGAAGAGGAGGAGTCCTGTGGAGGATGAGAGAGAAAAGAAGTGATGGGAAAGAGAGAGAGAGAGAGAGAGAGGAGGGATGGAGAGAGAGAATGGACAGAGTAAGTTACAATGAGGGGATACAATAGAATCCACACAGTTACACAGGCGATCTCACTGCCTCTCTCTCAGACAATGATGTATAGCACACAATGCTGGCTACATGTCCAGAGATTATAATAGAGGACTAATCCCTAACAGAAAAAAAGACAAGGACGTTGTTCGAATAATATTTATTGAATAAAGTTGACTTCAAGAAGAAAAAGAGTCCTGATCTGTACAAATCTCAGTGACAGGCGCTGTGTGTGTTGCTGTCTATGGTGCTGAAGCTGTTCACTGTTTTTAATGGAGGGCAATACAGTCATGCTCTGCTTGTCTCTGGTTTCTGAATGAAATCATATACTTTGAGCTTATCGTAGAGGAAGGACAAGCACGATAGAACCTGCTCTGAGCCTAACCTCTTAATTTTTAAGATTAGCTTAGAATCTTCTAACTAATCAATATGGGGCCACTGTGCTCTCTGCTGACGTTAAAGGAGGAGTCATGTATTTAACTGTTTCACTTCTACTGGGACATGCACAACATGGTGGTTTTTTTGTTGTTGTTGTTTTTGCAAGTTTAATTTTTTTTATTAGCTGCATTTGTGTACAATTCATTATTTTTCCTCTTTATGAGATTAGGGTGTTTATATAGATTATTAGTTTGGTGATTCTATCTCCTGCCACTAGGAATGGATGGGTTGTTTAAACCCCTTCCAGGGTCATGACGGATATGTTGAGATACAGCTATATTCCTTACGTGGATGCCAAGGGGTTAAAAATGGATGACGGTCTATTAATTCAAAATGAGTCAGTTTGTTAATTAACTGTTTTGAAATGTATATTTAGTGAGATTGTAGAACTGTTATAGCTGTAGAGCCTAAGGCTGTAAATCTATTGAACATGGTAATTGAGATGGATGAACCCTTTGAGTGTCAGGGAGATGCGTGTGCATTGCAAGCAGTATGTTGTAGGGCACACCAACATACTGTACATAATGTGATCACATAGGTATCAAACACATGTCTGTAAGTATACCTAACTAAAAACAAGCAGCTCAGTCAGAGTATTTTTGGCACACTAAAAAACATATACACAGGATCATTCTCAAACTGACATTTTAAGAATTCACAATGATTTTAAAATGAAAGCTTAAAAGGACACTATATTCACCAGAACAACTACAGCTTATTGAATTTGTTCTGGTGAGTAGAATCATTACCTTCAGGCGTTTTTCTTTAAACACTGTCTTTTCAGAGAAAATGCAGTGTTTACATTACAGCCTAGTGATAACTTCACTGGCCACTCCTCAGATGCCTGTTAGAGATCCTTCCTGGGTCATGGCTGCCTAAAATGCATCCAAACATTCAGTATCTCCTCCCTTTGCATGCAGACACTGAACGTTCCTCATAGAGATTCATTAATTCAATTCATCTCTATGATGAGATGCTGATTGACCAGGGCTGTGTTTGAATCATGCTGGCTCTGCCCCTGATCTGCCTCTTTGTTAGTCTCAGCCAATCCTATGGGGAAGCACTGTGATTGGATCAGGCCACCACTTCTGATGATGTTAGCAGACTGCTTGTTTTTCTGAATCTAATATCATGCAGATCTACAGCTTCTGGCTTGAATACAGTAAGATTTTGCTAAATTAATGGAGGCATGAGGGTTCCGGGGGGGGGGGGCTATTTGGTGGTGTTAACACTATAGGGTCAGGAATACATATTTGTGTTCCTGACCCTATAGGGATCCTTGAAATTATAGATTTGTAAACAAACCTTGACCTTTAGCTTGACCTGTGCTGCCTGACTTGATGTTTTGCTAGACTGACCCTGCCTTTACCTCATCCTTATCGGTACCTCGACTTAGATTTCCTTTAGCCCATTAATGATTACTGAGCTCTGTCTACTAAACTCTGACAGTAAGTGCAAATTTTAGTCTAAAATGGCCAACTTGAAAGCGCTCTGCCAGCTAGCTATTTTCTAAGCTCTGATTGATAGTGACTGAACCTCAAAATGTGACTTCAGATGAGAAAATATGCAGAATATATTCAGATTTTATCCAAAATAGCAATGTGGGAGTTCACTAATATTGGGGTCAGAGTTTGAGATTTTGTGCAGTTGCAACACAAAGAAAGATTATACCCTATTTGCTTTTTTTTATCTTGTTCGTTGATACATCTATTTATTATCAGATTTGTGGTAATATTTCTACATTTTATTGAGTACTCTCACCACCATTTGTTGCATATTTCACTTATTTTCACTTAGTGTGTTTGGAGATACATGGTGATTGTAGCACCTTATATATTTTATAAAGCTTTACTATTTATTGTTTTTACTATCATGTCTGATGTTTTATAATCTGGTTTAAGTTGGAAGATTTGACCCATCAGGTCCTGTAACATTTTCCAATATATTTGAACTTGGGGACATTCCCCCCACATATGTATATAGAAACCCCGCTGACCGCAGCCTCTCCAGCAAGTATCCATTCATTCTATATAATTTCACCAGTGTGGTGTACCACTTGAACATGGTTTTAAATTACTGTTCCTGCAACATCACACATATGGATATTGAGTTGTTGACCTCCCATATGTTTGCCACTCCACACCTAAGGTTTCCCCTAAGTCTGCTTCCCACTGTTCCGTATACGATAAAGACCCCCATTCGCTCGTTTCAGAGCTTAGATGGGCATATAGTATGGTTATTAAGTTCGACTGACTCACTCAGACACATCCTCTCAAAGAAAGACATTTTTTTGTGGGCCTATTTTCTCATATGTGCCTGGCTCGCGAAATCTTTTAGTTGCAGATAGCGAAAGAAGTTGGTTGTTGTGAGGTGGGCTTTTTGTTTTAGGTGTTCGAATTCTATAATTTTCCGATCCTCAAACACATGGCATATTCTCTGTTAGCCTTCTCTCTCCAGGTTTTGAAAGTTCCTTGCTGCCATACCTGGAGGGAACGTCTTATTTCTCCATAATGGTGTGAGTGGTGAGGGGGAGGAAGCTAGTTTATATTTCGTAGCTGCATTAGCCCGGATTCTGATCCAGTTTAATATTGCTGGGCATGCCATTCTTAACATCAGTCTCTGTCAGCAAAGACTCAAGGTCAACCCATTTCCTTACTTTTAGTGTCACGCGACACATTGCTATTTGGGCGAGTTGGGATACGATATAATAGTACAGGTGTTGCTATCCCAGGCCACCTCGATTTAGGGTGGAAAAGGACGTTTCACGATATCTTTGGACGTTTATTTTGCCATATAAAAGAGCTGATGGCCATTTGCAGTGGTGCTAGGTTCGATTTAGTTACAGGTATTCGGAGGGCCTAGAACAGGAATAAGATGCACGGTAGGATATTCATTTTAACAGGCTGGATGCGGCCTATCCAGGAAATGAGTTTATCACACCAATTATCCATCTCTCGCATTAGGGTTCTCAGGAGAGGGGAGTAGTTTACTTCATATAATTTGGATAGGTCCTCTGTTAGGTGCACCCATAGATATTTTAAGGCGCTGCTTGCTATTTGGATGTTGTGTGCCGAATGTATGGATGCCGTGTCCTGCGCAGACATTCCTATCTGGAATGTCGTGCTTTCTCCATGTTAGCCGTATTTAGTTAGTACTTCAGTCAGTGCTGTCATGGATGTGTCGTATTCGTTACTGTCAGGAGTACGTCATCCACATATGTGGAAACCAAAAATTCCTGGCCCCCTACCTCTATCTACCCTGTATCTGAGGGTGGTTCCAGATTGCAGTAGGGGCTCTAGAGACAAAACAAAAAGAAGCGGGGATAACGGGCATCCCTACCTAGTCCCATTGCCTAGCCTAAAGGGCTGTGGTCTCATCCCCGTTATTTTCACTTGTCCGTCACATTATAATACATGGCTTTGATTGCCATTATGTATGTATTCGGGAATCCTAAAAATGTTAGAAGGCTAAAAAGGGAGGGCCATTTGACTCTATCGGATGCTTTTTCTGCATCCAAAGAGACTGCTAGAGTGGGTGTTTTAGTACAGACTAAGTGTTTTAGTACTGTCTCCAAATAAGATCGATGTTTCTACGAGTGTTCTCGAAGAGTTGCCTTCCAGGGATGAATCCAACCCGGTATGTGGAGACCAGGGTGGTTAGGAAGGGATTTAGTCTGTCTGCTAAGATTTTGGCTAGAATCTTGGTGTCATGATTGATAAGTGATAGTGCTCGGGGCATAGAGGGACTTTACCCGGCTTGGGTAGAAACACAATATTCACTAGGGACATCTCCCTGTCTGGCATGCCTCCCTTCTGGAATTTGTTAAAGAGGAGTTCTAGTTTAGGAATTAGTTCCTCCCAAAAAGTCTTATAATAACCCACATTAAAAGCCGTCGGGTTCCGGTGCTTTGTTGCTCTTCAGGCCCAATTTGGCCTTATCGAATTTTTCTGCAGTAATCTCACTGCCTAGTATGGCGACCGTGTCCGTGCTCAGTTAAGGTAGCCCTAGATGCACCAGGAACGATCGTATGTCATCGTTCCCCACCCCTGGTGCACAGAGGTCTCGAGGTGAATGATTATACAACTTATTGTAGACCTCTGCAATGTCCTGTGGGTTATTCTTGATGTAACCATCCGTGTGTTTGATAGACGTAATGTGTGCATGCCTTTGTCTTGTGTGTAAAGATTGTGCTAGTAAGATGTCCATCTTATTCGCCTTTTTGTAATATGTGCGTCTTAAAGGACCACTCTAGGCACCCAGACCACTTCAGCTTAATGAAGTGGTCTGGGTGCCAGGTCCTTCTAGGGTTAACCCATTCTTTTATAAACATAGCAGTTTCAGAGAAACTGCTATGTTTATGAATGGGTTAAGCCTTCCCCCAAATCCTCTAGCGGCTGTCTCATTGACAGCCGCTAGAGGCGCTTGCGTGATTCTCACTGTGAAAATTACAGTGAGAGCACGCAAGCGTCCATAGGAAAGCATTGCAAATGCTTTCCTATGCGACCGGCTGAATGTGCGCGCAGCTCTTGCCGCACGTGCGCATTCAGCCGACGGAGAGGAACGGAGGAGCAGAGCTCCCCGCCAAGCGCTGGAAAAGGTACGTTTTAACCCCTTTCCCCCTTCCAGAGCCTGGCGGGTGGGGGCACCCTCAGGGCACTATAGCGCCAGCAAAACGAGTATGTTTTCCTGGCACTATAGTGGTCCTTTAACCAAGTGATTTCTTGTGTTGTGTTTGAATTCCAGGGATCTCAGGGATCCCATCAGTCTCGCCAATGTCTCTGTTTTCTTTTTCTTCTTTACTGGCGCTAGATGAATAAGGTTACCCCTAATGGCCTTGTGGGCCACCAATTAAATCCCTGGGGAGATATCCGCAGTTTAATTTTTGGTGAAGTAGTCCTTTATTGCTTTAGTCCTTTATTGCGTTGAGTGTCTCTCAACAGAGACCAATTCAGCTTCCATGTCCACGGTGATGCCGTACACAGGTTTCCAAGTGTCAACGAGACCTCCGCGTGGTCCGTCCACATAATCGTGCCTATGGACGAGTCGGTGACCCTCGATAAGCTGAAGTTATTAATTAGAAAAAAATCGAGTCTCGAGTATGTTCCAAAAGGAGCTGAATAGAATGAGTAGTTAGCTGCGCTGGGGTGTTGTGCCCTCCACACGCCTATGAAGCCAAGTTTCTGTATAAACCCATGTAGCAGTCTGTCCTGTCGCCCCCTACTGTGGGATCAGAGCTGACCTCTGCCCGAGCTTCTATCTATTGCCGGACACGGCGCCATATTGAAATCACCGCCCATTATAAGCATCCCGTGGGGGAGTGCCTCTACTTTGGTGGTAAGCTTTTCCCGGAATTCGGGTTCTGGGGTATTTGGTGCATATATGTTAATCAAGTGTGTTGAATGGGAATTCATAGTCCCCATTAGAATAATGAATCTCCCCTCTGGGTCCAACTCCAAGTTGGTGATGCCGATAAGACACCGGTTATGGATGAGGATTGCCAACCTGTTGCATTTGCGTTGGGCCTTAGCTTGGAGTATGGAGTATGTGTGATCTTTCAGGGATATCTTAGCCTGTTTAAAGATGTGTGTCTCCAGAAAGAAGGTTATGTCTAAATGCAGTCTTTTTTGTTTGTTTTTTTGTGCAGAGAAGTACAACTTGCCACAACAGCAGTACCAAACGTAGTCACAATAAACATATTATTACATAGGTATGGCATGTGTAGATGGAGCACTTTTTTATGTTGTGATATGTAGTAAATCAAGATATAGCATAATGTAAATAACAACAAACAGTTTGCATACCAACATATGTTTAGGGGGAAAGGTGCATGATCGGTGCGGGAGAGGGGTGTTTGCATAAGCAAATGCTTGTTAAGTAAGACTGACTTTCCAGGTAGAGAAGCGTGCAAGTGAGCCTGTGACGCATGAATGTAAGCTAGACTATGTATAGGTACAATTAGTATTTAGTCGATTCACTTAGAGTAATACCCTCCCTGCGATCACTTGTGTGGTCAAAGAAGGGTAATAAATTTACTGGAGCTTAAACTAAACTTATATAAGTGTTCAACTTGGGTATAGAAAGGTAAGAAGCAGTAGGCACTTTGCCTGATATAGAGTCCCAGTTCTGATGCACGGGTCAGCGATGCCTTGCTGGGATTGAATGTATTCCCACTGTGCTGATCGTTGCAGCCTGCTCAGTCTCCTAAGTGTGAGGGGGCATAGAGCACCTGTGCCGTGAGGATGTACGCTTGGTGGGGTATGCAATGTCCTCCTTGTCAATACTGGATATGCTGGTCGTGGGCCGTTACGGCTCCGTGATGGCCCTCCAGATACTCTCTTGGGCCTCATGCCCCGCCATTTCACCTGTCAGGTCAGGCTGATTATGCCCCTTTGGGACTTATGCCATGTCTCAGCTCGCTGGTGAGAGTGTTGTGGGAGTTTTCTCTTGGGTGCCCCCAGGGCCCCTGAAACTGGTCCCGGTCTGCTGCTGCTCACCTTGTGGCACCTTGAGTATAGCCCCGAGAAAGTCCTTTGCTGGAGCTGGCCTCTCGCGGGTGTATAATTAGGGGGAGTTACTGTGGCAAGTCACTGAGCATGCGGGCCTGCAATTTCTTAAAAAAGGATGTGAAGATTCTGTTCAACTGGAGCTCTGTTTCCAGCCTTGCACTGCGTGGGTAGGCGGTGTGAAAGGCATCCGCCATTTTGGAAACCTCTTTAAAAGTAGGTCCGGGACTCTGTTTTAATGTCATGTTCTCACCCCTTTGCAGGGGGATCATGTGGGGGTAGACCGGGATAACCCCCACCGGTCCAGTGGGGGGCGGGGGGAGCAAGGGTACTCAGCCGGTCATGGAAGCAGGAAAGCGTCCGTCCCTCCTGTCCCTGCCATGCTTGTAGGCCTCACAGTCATGTTGGGTGAGTAGTGCTTGGAATGTCTCTTGGGTGGTGTCATCTTGTTCACCTTTTGTTTGGTGGCCTTTCTGTCTTGATTAATTGCCGTTTTGGCAGTGAAAGTATGCTTTATTTATTTATTTATTTATTTATTACCTCCTTGACATAGGCCTCCTTTTACCCGATTTGTCTTTGAAACTATGTGCATCAAAATAAGACCTATGCCAATAAGCGGCTATCTACATTCATATATTATCTTCATTTTGCATATCATTAACCATGCAGTGGTATCATGGTTATTATCATTAAATTGATTTTAGTAATTTTTATTTTTTTTAAACACTCTCATATAGTTATTTTTATTACCAACACGGTATTGAGGGGGTTAATATTGAATCAATAATTTTTCCGGTGAAGACCATAGACACGCCTATACTGACAGTACTTGACCGGTTTGAAATTAAACACAACCAATCACCGGTTAACTTTTGGTTTAAATACCCCTACTTACCTATGTTTAGTTCCCCTCTGATGAGCCACTCTGGCAAAACATGCGCATCAGGGGCTCAGGGTCACACTCTCATACATATACCCCCTATTGAACTAGAATCTGCATTGTGGACTGAACACCACATGAGGTTTCATTAGTCCTCGCTTCTCTTCTATGTGTTATTTTAATATGGATGTTGGAGACATTATTTTTCTTTTAAATCACGTTGAACTTAGTGGAGGTTAGTACTAGCTTAGCATTTTTTTAAGTGGTAACTCAAAGGCACAATAGGACTTGTATTAATTCTGCTCTTTCTATCATACTAGAACATATTGGAGGTGCTACTGTTATATGTTACTATTTAACCCAGTTTTGACTTCCCCCTTTTTTGTCTACAGTCTTACCGTATCATTATTATGATACTTAGTATCACTTAACCAAATCTAATGGACTATTACTGCCTTATATTCTCTCTAAATGCTTGCTACCTTTTAGTTACCCCTTAGTATTCTTGCATATCAATACTCTCTTTCAATAATTTCCAACCACTCTTATACCTCCCACGTTAAAAGTTAAGGGATTTTGCCCAACTCCCTCACTTACTGAACGAATCTCAGCATGCCAAAAAACTTTAAAAACACTCGTGGCCAAAGACTCCACTAAAGCTGGATCTGCAAACTCTATTATGAAAAATCCAACAAAGCAGACACCTTATTAGCCAGACGCCTTAAACAGAGGACCACTCCGAAACAAATTGACAAAATTCGGACCCCAACGGGGCAAATAGCGGTCATACCCAACCAAGTGACACAAATTTTTGAAGAGTACTACACACAACTATACAACCATGCCCCGCACACACACACTAACCCTGAGCATTCTCGTTCGCTAACCTAATGCTACCTGCAAGCCATATTCATGCCATCATTACCAGTTGAAGCTGCCAACAATAAAGCTGCCCCCATAGAACCAGAAAAACTAATCGCCACCTTCAAACTCCTGAAGCCCAACAAATGTCAGGGACCTGACAGCTTTTCTGGTCTGTACTACAAGACATATTCAGCTACACTAAGTCCATACTTATGCAAGTTCTATAATTCCCTCCTAACTGGGGACGCCCTCCCCCACATGACATGTTACAAGCCAACATAAACTTAATCCCCAAACCCAACAAGGACCACACAGGCCCTGGTCATTTCCGCCCCATCTCACTCTTAAACATAGACATCAAAATATTTACCAAACTTCTGGCAGAACGCCTGAATCCATTTCTTCCCAAATTAATTCACCCAGATCAAGTGGGCTTCAGACCCGCGAGACAAGCAGGGAACAACACCAGGAAAGTGTTTGACCTAAACTGGACAGCCAACGCCCATAAAATTCCCACCCTAATCCTCTCACTAGACACTGAGAAGGCATTTGATCGCCTTCTCTGGCCCTTTCTATTTGCCACGCTTACCAAAGTAGGACTCCCACCCCCCTTCATGGCAGCCTTGCAAGGGTTATACTCCAACCCAACGGCCAACCTTCTCATTCCCATACAGAATCACCAAGGTTCGCAATCCACAATGGCACGAGACAGGGCTGCACACTATCGCCCATCCTGTTCACCATAGCCCTCAAACTACTGCTGCAGGCCTGAAGGTACACAGAGACAACTACTTAGTAGCCATATATGCAGACGACATACTAATAACCCTGACAGTTCCCATGGAATCTCTACCCCCTCTGATAGCCCGTCCATGTGAATATGGGGAGGTATTGGGCTACAAACCTAACCTGGAAAAAAAATGAAATATTAACTCTTAATATCCCAGATACCACACTCGAGTCCCTCAAATAATCCCATCCATTTAACTTGGAGGCACCCAGTGTCCACTACCTAGGCATCCACCTCCCAGCAGACCTCAATACGGTATATGACTTAAATTACACACCACTCCAACACGCGGCCATACGAGATCTGGAAGCCTGGCACAGAATATCCATCTCCCGGCTGGGCAGGCTAGCATCCATCAAAATGAATCCTCTACCTTGCTTTCTGTACCTATTCCAAGCTATCCCAACACTAATCTCTACAGCGGACTTCAAGTCACACCAAACCCATACAGACAAATTCATATGTGCAAACAAGAAGGCGAGAATCAAGAGAACTACAATGTATATTCCAAATTAATCAGGCGGCCTCAGCATACCACACTTCCTGCACTACTTCCACGTGGCCCAACTAGCCCAAGTCCAACATCTTCATGCTCTCCACAGGAACCAAACGATGTGTAGATCTTGAACACACCATACTTGGCAGAGACTTCCTCTCCCTCTACATATGGCTACAAAAATTAGCGAGACCCCCCATATACCCTACTATACCAGCCCTAACCACCTCTATCAGAGTCTGGGACAGGACTACCACCAAATTTTCACTAATTTGGAACCCCTCCCCCTGACACCAATACTGCGCAACATTCAATTTGAACCAGGGATGACCCCCCACGATTTTTACCGATTCGACCATAATGATCTCATTACATTCTACCACGTCTTTCGCCAGGGACAACTAATCCCATTTACGGACCTACCACAAACCACTCCCTTAACAACATACGACCATTGTAGATACATACAAATACAAAGCTTCCTGGACAACCAAATAAACACGAGAGGAGGGACGACCAAACTGACTACCTTTGAAAATCCTGTATTCACTGCCAAGTCTCAAAGGGACATATCTCAGCCATTAACTCCCTCCTTACCTTGAACCTGATGGCGGGTGCACTGTTGTATGTGTCGGCCTGAGAAAGGGACCTGGGACCCTCGAAGGACCCCTCCAACTGGGGAGACATATGGGAAGCCATGGTGGCTGTTTCCATATGTGTTAAGCACAAGGAACAAACCTCACCCCACTTAGACTCAAACAAATGGGCCATTCCGACTCAGATCTCTGCTGGAAAAACTGTGGACAACAAGGCACCTATATACACCTGTGGTGGTAATGTCCAAAGCTCAAACCACTGTAGTTACAAATCTCACAACTAGTTTCAAGAATACTACACATCCATACCCCTGGGCATCATCACTCAGGCCCAAAACAAACTTGTATCTAAGATAGCCCTAGCAACCAGAAGAACCATTGCAGCACAGTGGGGTAACCAAAATATCCCACTAAGTGAGGCAGTGATCCATAGAGTTTCAGAGGTCACGGAGATGAACAGATTCTCAGCAATAATCCATGACATCACAAAACACTTTCAGAAAACATGGGACCCCTGGTTCAATAAACAAATAGGATAAAAAGACATGACACACCCAGCACACCACACAATAAGCTTGCAAAACCCTACCACCATCGGCCCCCTCCTTATCCCCCCCACCCAATCGACCAACACAACCGCGAGGAATGGATAAATCCATTGCCACCATCCCACTGCCCTTTCTTATCTATTCACATTTCAAAGCTTGATTTTCTTGATTTCTCTTTCCTTCTTCTCTCTCCCTTCCCCTCCATTCCCCCCCCCCCTATCTCGCTGCTTACTTAATCTCTCACTCTAACCTCTGTCCCCACATCCCCCTCCCACCCCAACACTCAACCCTCCCATGACGACCTACCGGAAACCCTGACGCTGAACCAAGCAACCCAACACACCCAGCCGACTCCCCCCCAAAAAGAGAGACCCATTCAGAAGCTCTTCAGGCCCAAAAACTGCTGGGGCAGACCAGACACCCCAAGTCAGAAACGGACATACCTATACACACAACCAAACTCCATTCGGGGAACTAGACAACCCGATACAACCAACCTCCCCATTATCAGGGCCGGGCCAAAACCTTACCCTACAGATTCCACGAAAACTTAAAGCCACAAACAGCTTGCCACATAGCACAAAGCAGGTGTTTAAAAAGTTACTCCTTATTATTATTATTATAATATTTATATAGCGCCATCAAATTCTGCAGCGCATTACAATGGGTGGACGAACAGACATGTAGTTGTAACCAGACAAGTTGGACACACAGGAACAGAGGGGTTGAGGGCCCTGCTCAATGAGCTTACATGCTAGAGGAAGTGGGGTAAAATGACACAAAAAGGTAAGGATAGTATTAGACTAGTGACAGTTGCAGAAGAGGAATCAGTCAGGAGTTATTAACAGTTCAATTGATACGCTTTTATGAAGAAGTGGGTTTTTAACGATTTTTTGAAGGAGTGGAGAATGGGTGAGTATCTAACGGAGGAGGGAACTGAGTTCCACAGGAAAGGTGCAGCCCTCGAGAAATCTTGAAGGCAAGCATCAGAGGTGGGAGTACGGACAGAAGATAGACGTAAGTCTTCAGCAGATCGTAAGGGCCTAGACGGGACATACTTGTGTATAAGGGAGGATAGATAGGTGGGAGCAGCATTATGTAGCGATTTGAAAGCAGGAACTAGAATTTTAAATTGAGCTCTATATTTTATAGGAAGCCAATGTAGGGACTGACAGAAGGGTGAGACATAGGAGGTGCAGGCAGACAAGAAGATGAGCCTCGCCGCCGCATTCATTATGGACTGTAACAGCGCAAGTTGGGAGCACGTAAAACCACTGAGAAGCGGATTACAGTAGTCAAAGCGAGAAAGGACAGTGGAATGGACCAACACCTTAGTCGCATCTGGTGTTAAGTAGGGGCGGATGCGCGCAATGTTTTTGAGATGGAAATGACAGGATTTGGAGATAGATTGAACATGAGGCTTGAAGGAGAGGTCGGAGTCAAAGAGAACACCTAGGCAGCGAGCCTGCGTGGTGGGACTGATGGTAGCACCGTTGACTTGGAGGGAGACAGACACAGGAGTAACAACACTTGAGGGAGGAAAGACCAGAATTTCAGTTTTGGTCAAGTTTAGTTTAAGGAAGTGGGCAGCCATCCAGTTAGAAACAGCAGAGAGGCAGTCAGATACACTAGTCAAGAGGGACGGGGAGAGATCAGGAGAAGACAGGTAGATTTGCGTGTCATCTGCATAGAAATAATATTGGAAGCCAAAGGAGCTAATGAGTTTACCAAGGGAGGCAGTATAGATGGAGAACAGTAGGGAACCAAGGACTGAACCTTGGGGGAACCAACAGAGAGGAGTGGGGGAGAAGAAGCAGAGCCAGAGAAAGAAACAGTGATTAATCTTATATCACAAAAACTCAATACCTTGACAGACAGCAAATTTATAACCTAACTCTGGCCCTTACTCAAGGCGATTCTGAAAGGCCAGCAGGTCCATAAGTATTCACTGTTAACTTCACGCTAATCATACTTTAATAACTCTATAACCCTGCCATAAGCATTGGCATGAATACATAGCAAGCTATTACTCGGACTTAGACGTGCATACTTAGCCTGTTTCTATTACTGTTCTTTTTCCATATTAACTCATGTTAATTTTCGCTATGTCATGTTATATTCTGTTATTGAATAGTTTCCTACAGCTATTGTGGCGTAGCAAACCTGACTGTTATATCATGCACAATAAAATAAAGCATTAAAAACAAAAAGTTAAGTGATCTTTGTTATATTTCTTTTTGTCTATTTTTCTCTATATTTTAAATAATAACACTAATGAAGTTTAAGTCTTTACTATTTATGTCACCACTGCTCACATTGTATAGACTATCACTTATCAGGTACATATTTTGTGTTTTGGTAACTTATTTTCTTGTTTTGTGGGGGGATTTTTCAGTTTATTTCAATTGATATTTAATGATTTATGGGTTATTCACGTTTTTTTGGTGTGTTCCTTTTTTACATTGGCTCGCTCCCTCTCTAATCGATTACTGTCACAAAATGCCTTTTTTCCTTAAATAATGAAAAATTAGCTTTAGAAGTACCTGCTTTAATCTTCACTTTGATCAGGTTTTCGTCTCCTCATGTGATTGCATGTAATTTCCCCCTTTGCTTTCTCCCTGCATCCTGTAGTTCAGCTAGACTGGTCACCAATGGCCATGCTCCAGTGATTCTCTATGGGAATCAGTAGTAATGACACGTCCACAATGAAGTACTCAACCTAAGTTACACTACAAATACAGCATTTAGACACTAGAACTTACATACCACATCACACACACAAACATTTCTGCACCACATTAGGTATCATATAGAGTCATATGTTTATTATAAACAAATATAAAGAGACAAACTCATAAATACCCATAGAGCTTTGTGTTATCTCTCTCTCTTTCTATATCTATCTGTGACGGACCACCTGGTACCCCGACCGGTTGCCTCCGTCAATCACTGCTTCCTAGTACTAGCGAGCATGATAAGCACTGCACTAGAACACCATAACTACTGTAAACTCCACAAACCACCGCTGCTTGGTTGGGATCTCGCTGTCCTCCATCCACCCTGGACCCAAGCAAAGCAGGATAGCTTTTACAAGAGCTAGTGATTATAATCCAGGGGAGTATAGTGATCATAGCAATCCTCAGAGTGAATATAGCTCTCCAATCCCCCAAACATGA